ACTTATTTCTGACCAAAAACCACAAAGATAACAACGGTGATTTGATATTGGATCATGCCTAATTGTTTGACTATCGTGTGGAAACAACAGAAAAAAAGTATAATAAAAGTAAACAACATTGTTTATCACAATTTAAAAATGTGTTTTTATCTGTGACCTTTCTGCAAATATTTACAGAAGGAACATTTTTAGACCGCAACAACTGATTGAATTATTTAAGGTTTTGTCTGAAAGATTATCTAAACTTTTCAGCTTAAGGAATTTAAAGATATTTTGATCTCTTCAAGAATTATTGAGTGGATTTCGAGTGCTGGACAAGACTTTCTTTTTGGATTTGAATTTTTGATGGCTTTGACCGAAATATGAACATCGAAAATTATTATTCACTATGCACACAGCTGTGTGCTTCTAATTTAGTATTCGAATCAGGCAAGGAATTTCCCTATGACCGAAAATTGGATAAAAGAAAGAAACTCAATCGACAATCGATGCGCAAGAACCCACAATTGAAGTCGTTGCAACAATCGGACATTTCTAATACAAGCTTCCAGTTTTGGCCACGCTGCACAATCATAGTGATGAAGGTCTGTGGACTTTAGAAGTCTTTTGCACTGGCTTTACGTCCATCAAAGATAAATTGCTTGTATTTAGAGGCTTTCAATGCTCGGCTCTTGGAATCGTCTTTGTCTTTCACCAAAAACAAGAGAGCTTAGTTAGGCATCCCTCTTCTGTCAGTGAGCCAATTAGTTGAACAGATTGCTGTGCATTTTTCGTCTAAAAGGTTAAAGAGAGGATGCACGGGCCAAGGACACTTTTCACTACACCTTAAAGTCCCTGGCAAACAGCAATTTCAATTAGTTCAATTACACAACTGCAACAGGAGAACAAGCCGAGGGTGTAACACACCCCAGTCAACTGGAGCAAACAACCCTTTCCTTTGAGGCCATCCCTGGTACATCGATGGCAACTTTTCGCAATTAAAACTTGAAACGTGAAAGACAATAAAAATCAATTATCTTTAATAAAGGGCCAGCGACCCAACTGGCCAGCAAAAGGTAATATATTTTGGTTTTCGAAAAAAAAAGGATCACCGAAAAAACCAAAACCAAAATTTAACATGACCAACAACCCCGAATTGCCATTGCATTTAATTAAGAACTGGATTCGGGGAGAAGGTGTATGGAAATGCACTTTGACCGTTGCATCCTTTCCATTAGACTTGCCCCTTTTCACAGGTTAAAAATCTAGTCTAGGTTTCATTTTTGGGGTTGCACGCGGGATTCTGGCCTCGAGACACGCACCACCAAAAATGGTTTCTGATTTTTTGAATACATCATTGGCAACTGGAGTGGCATGGAGTGAATATGAGTGGAGTGGCTGCCAAGGATGCATCGTCCGCTGGTCAGACTGCAGTCTGCCGACTGCCTGCTCTATTTATAACTGTCTGGATGGATAGATGGATGGTTGGAGTTTGAATGTGGATGGGGATGGGGATGCCGGTCTGGCTGGGCGTGGTCTGGATGCAGAATTTATTTGCCATGACCATGCTGTGGCGTGTGGATGAGGATTTTCGTTGCTGCAGCATGCGTCACGCTGCCAGACGCATCGGCGGCTGTGAAAGTCGCGTTTTTGGTGACGATGTCGCAGACAAACGCATTGCCCGTTGACCCTTTGAAAAAGGAAAACGTGCGTCTGGCTGAAAAGTACAAATAACAGACATGCATGCTGATGCTGATGATTTTATCAGATGCCAGTCGAAGTTTGCTGGCTTGCATATTGGATTTTCAGACATGAGATACCGGTATCAAAAGCTCATCCCATCAGAAAATTTCATTTTCCAGACTAGGCAAATTTGATGAATTTTAATTTAAATTCAATTACATTTTCATGCATATTTAATGTTCATACTTAAACTTATCACAAAAAAAAACTAAAACTGTCTATCAATGTCCTTAAAATGCTATTTTTATTTTCAAACTTACTTAAAAATAAATTTAGTATAACAATTTTGAGCAAACCTCCCAAAACAGTTTAACGTCTAAAATCTACCACTCAGTAAAGTAAATATGAATTCAATCATTTTATTCAGGCATTGTTTAAGTCTCTCATATATTGAAATATCAATTTTCCCAAAATATAAACGAAGATTCAAATTTGGAATGGTAAATACAGGAAATCATTTGCATTTATGTCAAAATAAATAGTGTCCACAATTGCCAATGTATACAAAGCCGTGCAAAACACAAATTGAATTTTTTCAAGTTTCTTTATAACAAACATCAGAACATAACATGATTAAAGTTGTATGCCCTTTCAGGTTTTTTATTTTAATGAGAACTTGCAACCCAGGAAGGGATTGGAGATGGAGAGGAAGGCATGGAAGATACTTGTTAACATTCTATTGGATTCCCTTTCGCTGCTTAGGGGCTTACCTCGTCATTAGTGGGTCAGAGCACCAAGAGCCCACCCCGGCCAAGCCATCCCCTTCAGGTCTGACACATTGCCTGATCTTCCACTTGCCGTTCACCCCACATTGCCGAAAGGGCAAGAAATAAATCGTTTAACCTGCCACACGACGAGCGGGCCAAAGTTCTTTGGCTTTGCTTCGTTCATGGGATTTAGCGCATCCGCCTACGAGTGCACTTAATCACATGGAAGAGCAACCAACTGGCGGCCGGCTGCTCCTCCGCCTTTTGGGCACGTACGAAGTACGACAAGTTCCAGAGGATGGGAACGGGCCCACAGCGCACAGGTCTGCCAGGACACTCACGGCGAAAGCGTAAACGATGCCAAGTGGCAAGCGGCTAACGGCTCCAGTCCGGCGGATTTTACGGAAAAGGACAGGCGATGAACGCAACTCTTCAAATGACGAGAAGATGCTGCTTCATGTGCTAATTGCGCTGTCAAGTCAAGTGTGTGCGACGCGTAGCAGCAACATCAGGACCAGCAGCAACATCAACAGACCAGCAGACGGAAGCAACAGCTCAAGGGCCGTCTACAGACAGATATATAAATATATATATTTTTATATATATAGATTTATAATACATATATAGCCCGATGAGCACCCCATTAGGCGGTGTTTGAGCGCAGGCTGAGAGAAAACTTGTTGCATACTTTGCGCGGCCGCAAACAGAGCATGCAGCTTGGTTTTGCGCTCTTCACACTCTCCGGCATTTTCTCATTATCCGCCGGCAACACAACAAGAATTTTCCACCAGCAAACGCCCGCCGAAATTAAGTAATATCCCTGCTAAGAATGCCACCCAGCTCCAAATCAATAAACCATCAAAACCCAGCCTGTTTATCATGCTCTCTGGCCTTTATTGACTGCTGCCTTCGCATGAAATCAACATTTTTATCGAAACCAGCTCAGATAAGCGACGGCAAATCGCAAGCAGACAAACGAGAATTTCCCAGCCAGCCAGCAACTGCCACTGGGCGATATCGATTTTTCCAGCCCTCGCCAAAAACACAACAAGAGTAGCAACATTTGCTGTTGCCAATGTGGCTGCGGGCATTGCAGTTGCTGCTGCTTCTGATGTTGCTGCTGCTGCAAGCGGCGTGGGTGAGAACACAAGTTTCGAGCAATGCGAAATTACAATGGTTGCCGGCGGCAAGAGAAAGCTTGGAGCTAATTGCAAAGCAAACTTCAACGCGGCGGAAAACTCATATTTACTCTCCAATATTGCAGTAATCGTATTGGTAGAATGCCTTAATAATACATTTGAGAGAACCAGTAAAATATAACTCTTTTAAAGTTCCTGGTTTTTAAACACAGGAATTAATTAAAAAATAACTTTTTCCGTCAAGATAACAAGATAATATTTGAATCAAACTAATTAAAACAAAGTTTATAAATTTTCAAATTGGTTTTTAAGAAGTGAAAAACTTCAAATGTTGTTTTAGATTGGAAATAAAACCTAAATAAGCCACAATTTTAACGTCTCGGTTGAAATTTTAATGGTATTTTTGAGAAAATACATTAAATTTTTAAAAGTTTGAAAAGAAAATTGACTTAGGCAGTCGACGTAAGTCCCCAATATCAGGCATTAATGGAATCGTAAAGAAAACTTTTACAGAAAACGTGAGCAGAATATAAATATTTTATTTTCCCCCTTTGTGTTGGTTTTTTTTTATATGATACACCCGTAAGACCTTTTGTAATGAATCAAATTCGGGCTCCTAATATAAAATTTATCTGTATCCATGCTTTGATTTTCGGTTCGATTTCCAGCAATATTGAAGAGTAAAAAACTAAATATACTGTGCTCTATTCCCGATAAAACTGTACGATATAGTGGACAGCATTGCAATCGCGACTCCCCAATAAGCTCCATGCAATTCGAGCAGTTCAACCCCCGATTCGGAAAACTTTATCAGAGTTAACGCAGCAACTGCCACCACTCCCCAAACTTATCAGCAAGGCCAGCAGCTCCAAAATTCCCCGGCCACCCATCGAAAAAATACACACAAGGGATCAGGAGGCGGGAAAAGGAGGTGGGGGTTGATTGAAGGGTATGATGTGTGCTGGACGAGTGCCCGAAAGCACCCATTAATACAGGAATCGCATCTGATAAGGGTGGCCAGCGTGGAGCTCTGGGAGCCGACGGAAAGGTTGGATCTACAGTGAATAAATTCGTAAAGGAACTTCAAGTCTACTTTTTAAAACAGTAAGCGGTCCTTCAACAAAAAATTTGAACTTCTAAATTGAAATCAATTCCATTATGATAAAGGTATGTTCTCTTCAAAATTATATTTTTAAGGGTGCAACTTCTTAACTTGATTTTTTGGCAATCTAATCGAAGTCTTAATAATATTTATAACTTTAAATTCACAAATGTATACTTGGCTTATCACTTATATTTCTGTTTTACAAATACCATTTAAAAGTTACGACCCCCAAATGCTTTGTTTTCGGCTTGGTATTGGAATTTTTTCTCGATTTTGGTATTGAAATAACTTTTTTATGCGATTTGGAATATTTTTTATGGTACTCACCCTAGCATGCATGTGCACATCGTTTTCACAGGGCTGCTGGACGGTGCGAATCTTTTTGTTCTGCGGCCCCTCGGTGACGACTATGGTGGCCCCTCCTCCGGCGCCACTTGCGCCACTGCCATTACTAGCGCCGTTGTAGGGCATTGCGGTAGGCGTTGCAAATTGGAGCGAAATCTCGGGGCTGATTAAAGTTTGTGGGTGTAGAATTTTGGCGGATTTGAGGCCTGGGCCCAGTGGTTGCACGGAAGATATTTTCAAGTTACGTGCGACGAAGACGCGCTAACTTTGAGATCTTGGCTTAAAAGGCTTTTAAAATGGGGACGCGGTTTTTTTGTGTTGGCTTACACTCGAATCTCTTCAGCGAGAAATGAGTTGTAAATGTTTACTTTGTAATTGTTGTTGATGTAGGATGTTTGGGTTATGACGGTGTAGCTGTCTGTTCTTCTTATTTATTTACTATTCGCCTCGCTTCAACTTCCTTCTGGGCGTGTTTTACACACTTTCAATTTTTTATTGCACTTTTGATTTGCGTGATAAATTTTCCGGTTTCCTCTGGCTGTTCTTTTAAGTTGGATTTACCAGCTGCAAGACGAATAAAAGAGAGAGAACAACCGGTGAGGTCTTTATTATTGAAAAAAGAAATGGGGGAAAATAATTTCGTTGCTCATTAAAACCGCAGTAGAAACTTGGGCATTAAATTGCATTTCCAATTTGCTGCAACTCCCAGGATACCACTTAAGCACGATTCGCAGCTTGAATGTGTCATAAAAATAATTTAAATGTTTTGGGCAATCGAGGGGAATTTTATATATAATTTAAAGTTCAGCATCACATGCGAATTCTAAAGCCCAAATTTAATTTACAGAGTTTTATTGCCGTATTATTGTATCAAAAGGTTTAATGCATTGAATGCAGTTATTTAAATAAATATTTAAATGAAAGGAAAATTAAACACACTTATTGGCCTGACCATTATTTATAGAACTAGACTACGAACTAATTCGTATCGGAATCTAATTGGATTAATTATACGGCGAATAGAATAGAAAGACAATATAGATCAATTATATTTTTTTATAGAAAATCCAAGCAACTCAGGTGGAAATTTATAACAGGAAATCTAGCTGAATGACAATTATAATGTGTTCCAATTGGAAACGGGAAACGAAGGCATTAATCAAAGGACAAAACAAAGGAAAATGCTGGAACAACCCTCGGAAAGTTGTCAAAAACAGATGGAAAAGCCACGAAAAGCGCGGGCAAAGCTAGATAGGAATACGGAGAAAGCAGAAAGCATAAAGCAGTGGGAATATGGCCGAAATGTCAGGATGAAGAATGGGAAGATGCAGGAAAGAGCACCCAAAGGTAGACGAACTAGGGGTGCAAAAAGGACTGCTGGAGAACTGTCAGATAATCGAAGAAGAAAGAGAAGTGCTGTGAAAATCGCGTAAAAGTAAACTTGAAAAACTTTTTCGGCCTGTTTGGAGTACAACCCTTACGGAAAACGGAAAATGGAAAATGCCGCACACACACTAGGAGCGAAAGGAAAAGAGCGTCACACGGACAGACTGCAGACATTGTTTTGTTTGTGGGGGTGGATTTTTCTTTAATGGATGCGGCGAACAACGGCAAAACTGAACGCTGAACTTTGTGACGTGCGCTTTTCTATTTTCTTTTTGTATGCGGCGGCAAATGTTATTGCACCATTCGTTTTGATTTTCAATGCCCATTTTCGCTTACAAAATGGTGGCGCGCGGCAGCAACAACAATGCAAAATAATATTTAATTTAGAATGCACACACATAAAACTGGCCGAATTTCAAATTTGGAAATTTGTTTTTTTTTTTAATCTTTAACTTTTTTTTTTAATTTTTATTGTCCGAATTTTACAATCACATCGATAATTAATAGAACGTGCTTCGAAAAAATTGCTAAGAATCAAAACTGCACTCTGAGAGTCAAAATTTTGCGACTGTGAACCTGTCAAAGGAAAAAGTGACTGGCTGACATTTCTTTTTCAGCGGTGTTGTCGCCTACTTACTCAAAAAAAACTCCGCAAAATGTGGCAACACACAAGCGCACGCACTGGAGAGTCACGAGATGATGGGGACAAAGTGAAAGTGAATTTCTACCGTTTGCAAGGAGCTTTTCCGACTCGGATTTTCTGAGTTTTTCCACTTCGACGCCGAGTTGGCGAATGTTAGTCAAATGCAAGAAGTAGAAACCTGTGAGCAAAGAGAGCGGTCGGTTAGAGCGGGATGGGGCGAAAAGAGAGCAGTCAGGTAACGGTCGGCGCAGAGAGAGAGATAATTTATCTAAGGGTTGCAAGGTGTCCAAAAAAAGAGAACGGAGAGGGGCAAAAATGCAACTGCAACACTTTTTTAACACTGCCACTTTTTAACTCACTCTCTCTCTTGCTCTCTCCCTGAGAGAGCGAAAACTACCTTTTTGTCTGGCCCTTTTTGTGCTGAATTTTCGTGGGTGGCAAAGGAAAAATCTTCCGGTTGTTCTTATTCAACAAATGTGGTTGCTGCTTTTGCACACTGTTTTTCCACACAAACACCCGCACAAACACAATGGCTATGTCTCACTTTCACCGTTAGCGCCAGCTTTTCTTTTTTACCTGGCCTTTCCGCTGCGCTTTTTGCACTTGTCTCGTTGTTTATTATTTATGCTTTTTCGCAGTCTTTTAGCTTTTATTTTGTTGCTGCCTCTTTTCAGTACACAAACAAAACGCAAACGCGACGGCGGCGAGAGAGAGACAGGGAGAGAGAGTGAGCGACAGACACAAACAACAAACAAACAACAACTCGCTGCGTGCGGGGGAGCGAGACGACGAGAATCGATAACCGTAGACAAGCGCGTGAAGAAGAGGAAAAATAACAACAACGACAACGACGCCGCGGAAGTATTTAATTAAGCCAAAGTATTTAATTTAAGCGTATGTGTACGCAGAATGCACGGCACCCACACGAACACACGTATTCATCAGCTCTTTGTTGTTGTCGCTTTTCTTTCAACTACTTCTGCTGCTTCTTCTTGCTCTGTTTGTCTGTTATTTTATTTGTCGCTACTTGGCTAGCAATTTCCAACCGTGCACAAAGTTTTAGCCTCGAAGCTCGAAGATTGTTTGAGGTTGGCAATCCACCGAACGCCAAGCAAAACCAAAACCTCTGATACGTTTTTCTCTCTTCCACAGCAGCGACTGCGACGTCGGCAGAGGCAGTGAATTTTCAGCCGTCTCACTCTCTTACCCGCTGTTAACCGCTTTTCTCAGTCCACGCACACTGTTAGCTCCATACAAATCGGCATGTTAGGCGCTTTTCTCATTCCACGCACGCTGTAGTCGAGCTGTTAAACGTTGCAGTACGCTGAGAAAATGAGAGCAGCGTTCGCCAATTGCTATGCGTCGACGTCGGCGTAGCAGCCACTGCACAGTGACCCACTTTAACCAAAAGTCTTATTATGAAAATAAAAAATTACACGCTAATTCACTACCTTTTGCTCAACACCTGTTAGATAAACTGAAGGATAGTGAAAAGAGGCCCAAGAAAGATCTTATTTAATTTACATGAAAACGATCCGAAAAATGTAGTCGTTTTAAATCGGACACTTTAAAACACCACCGGCTTACTGAAATCATATTTGACTTAAGGAAATTTTGGCCAGAACGACATTTTTTAAGTAAAGACCCTTTTACTTAAATAATTAAGGTCTTAATTTGCTAAGACATTTAAGAAATGAAATTGTTTCGTTCCAGATTAATAATTTTGGTCACTGTGCGCTGTTCACGTCGTAATGAGAAAATGAGAGCGTTATATTTTTCACTTTATTTCAGTGCGAGGGAGATAGCCGCACATGCCACACATTGTGAACGAGCAGTGCGGCAATAGAAAATGCGCATGTAATGCGTCTCTCTTTACAGCTGCGCGCATCTCACAAATATACTTTCGGTGAAAGAGTTACAAGCGAAGGTTTCTCTTGCGCTCTCCCAACAGCTGCGCGCACCCCACACAGATACAGCACTGCACGCGCACGCCAGTGCTGTTAACTGAGAGAGAAATCTCCAACTCCCCTCTCTCTGCGGACGATGTAATGGCAGCGCACGGTGGGTGTCATAGTCGAATATTTTTGCAATCCTAATTTACTTTGGGCCGAAGTCACGGCTGTCAGTTAAGATCACCGGTAATTAGATATTTTTCAAAAAACGTAATCAACCAAGAGAAACAATACAAAAAATTATGTAAGACGTCGCGAAAACTCGAATCTCTTCAGCAAGAAATGAGTTGTAAATGTTTACCTTGTAATTGTTGTTGATGTAGGATGTTTACTTTACTTTAGAATTTACTTGAACTAATCGATAACTTTTTCGGATAGCTGGGTATTACTATCTAACATTACTATCTAAAGTTAGCCTAAGCCTAAACATTTCCTCAGTATCGCTAAAATCGGGGTTTTAAAGGCTAGCCGCAGAAACCACTTCAGTGATAATTAATCACACACAAAATTAAATTCCTTTTTATTTTACTCTTCACGAAATGCTCACCAATAAATTCCTGACATTTCTAATTTGTATTTTAACGTTTAGATTTTTTATACTAAATAAAACGTGAAATAAAAACAATTTTTTATATTTAATATACTTTTCGTTTTGAGCATTATTCAAGCTATTTATATATAATATCCAAGTATGTATCTTTAAGATAACAAGTATTTTATAATTAACATATACGAGATCGATCCAATATCCAATTATGTATCTTCAAGATATCTTTTAATATTCTGAATTACCGGCTTCCTTGCACTGTTATTTAAGAGAGTTTCAACGAAGAGAGCTGGTGATTTACTCTTACAGTACTTATCATCAAACATATGCAGCCAACGAAATTGTCTTAATCGTTCTCTAAGTCTTCCTAGAAGATATCATTAATAGAAAAAAAGGAATTCTTTTATATATTCCTAATGCCTTTGGAAAATCTAAAATATTTTTAATCTTCTTTACATGTTTTATAAAATAAAAAACAACGGTAAAGTCGAGTGCCAATCAGATACCCGTTACTCTGTTCAACAAATTAAAAATAATAGTTATTTTTTATCAAATTCCATTGGCGCAGCAAATAATAAAGGCAAGGTTTATTTATCTGCTGATGGCTACGTCATTGACAATGTTACACCTTTAGAATTTTATTTTTTAAGAACTTGTCAAGAAACTGTTTGACTAGAAATAGCTGCGGATATTGAACAAAAAAGTATTCGTTTAATCGGACCAGATATCCTACTTTAAGGTTATTATAGGTAGGCCCCAATGCGAAAAGAAAAGAAAATTCTCTATATGTCCTTTAGCATCCTATTTCGAAAGGCCACCCACTTTTCCAAAAGCCCTCTTATGACTTTGACCATCGAGGACGTGGACCATGTTCGCTTAATGCCAAAGTGCAGCACCAAAAGCAGCAAAAACAGTCATCTGAATGGTAAACAACATAAACTATTTAGTCTATGTGTGGGTGGGTGGGTACTACGTGTGTGTTTAGGGTCTTTGGAGTGGGGTGCGGTGGTTGTGCATAATGGGTACCCACCGTAGTCGATGCTCTTGGGACCGTAACCACACTGCTCAGTAATGTTTGCGTCATAAACTGTGGATTAAACCGTATATTGGTATGCATTCCGCTGTGTGCCTCAACTTATCGAAGAACACCTTGTATGCCGCACTTGTTGCAGTTTTTCAGTGATTTCGTGATAATCTCCATATGGTGACCTTACCACCATCTGGAGAAATTGGAGCTAATGTGGGTCTTTGGTTAAGAGGCTTAATAATATTAAAATCAAACAAAAATTGCTCCCGATTTAAAATTATTTGTTTGTATAACATTTATGAGATTTTTATTTTAGTTTTGCATTTAACAGACTCTGTTAAAAACATCGCGCCAGCGATCAAGAAACCACTGCATACTTTTACGCACTGCTTGAAATGTTATTTGTGTTTTATCGCAAAACTATGCAATGATTTCTTTTACTGTCTTTTATTAATAGGAACAGTTTATTTAATAAATTATAAATGTCATCTGTATCGCTATTATTTGGTGTTAATTCACCTGAAATTCCAACGAGCTGATAGCAAAAAAAATTTTAATTTAAAAATTTTATTTTATTTTTAAAACCCAATTTTGTATAACCAAATATGGGTATGCTCCTCTTTAAGATCCCGTCGCTTAAAATATACTATAAATAAATTTGGATCTCAAATGAAAATCCTAGCTTAAGACGAATTGTTTAAATTATAAAAGTAAATCCATATCGTTACGTGTAAGCTGTGACAAATCTACAGTCACATATATGCAGCACACAAAAATAATTAATATTCAGTTTCAGATTGGAAGCCAAATGAAGTGGACTAAGCTTTTAGAACTCGTTGGAGCTACTCTTACTTTAACATTAATAAAAGGATCCTCCGTGAAGTGTCCAATGGGCTACCAACAGATCTTAGATGAATGTGTGATGTTGAAAAACCGGATCGAGGTTAATGGACAAAAATTCGTATAGCCTGAATAAAATAGATTTTTTCAATTAAAGGCTTTTCGCGGATTTAATGCTTCCAATACACTTTGTGCACTTTTGAACGCAGAAGTGAGGTAAATCTGCTTAAGAGGGCGCTAAGTAAGTGGCCTGTTCTGGCTGCCAACTTTCACCCGACTTCTGGGTTGCAGCAGGTGGTGGCACCCCCACTTAAGGGCTCCTTTAATGCCCACGCACGCAATGTGTCCCCCAGCAGGATGCATCCTGGGAGTACCAGCTCCCGGTTCTCGGGAAGCCGATAAGCCGACGCTATCAACGCCTTACATCCGCGCGTGTCTTGGCGATGGGTTTCCCTTCTCCCCTTCTCCCTTTCCCCCAACCACCCACTGCCACTTCGCGCTTCTCCCGGAACCTGCATCCGCTTCCGCTGCATCTGCCGGAGCTTGCTATCCTGTTTTAGCCAGATTTACAACCAGCAAACTCCTTGAGTTCCGTTGCTGCACAGAGAAAAAAATAAATCTTATTAAACTTTAGTTTCTAAAGAAATATGAAGAATATGTGTTCGACCATGTTAATAGATTAAAATCCAGCCATTTTCCGTAGGTAAATGTCCTTTTCTAAGCGGTCTGAAAGTATGCTGTACTTTTGTAAACTTATGGATTTTGTTGGGTGGATTGGTGTTCTAATTAAATTCTGAATAAGAATATTTCAAAATCAATATAATCATTCATTGTAGGACTTTATTTATTATTATATTTCCAATACTTAAGATTCTGTTTTGAGGAATGATGCTATTTAAAGAATCTACGAGCGATACGAAATGGATATCAATCCCATAGTAGCGATTGATAATTTAAATTGAATTGCCTAAAATAGTTATATCACATAATATCACATTACTAACTATTGGTAACTATTGGTTTTAATAGGTATTGTAACGTTTAAGTCTACAGTATTTCTTCAACTAGAAAATTCAACCCAAATAAGATAAATAACGACCCCAGGCGTTATGTACGTAGTGCAAAAAGCCCGATATCGTTTTGGATTTCGATCAAATAATCCCGAATAATAACCGAATCCCGTCCTTCCTTTTTTCTCTGTGTAAATGAGCGAGTGTGTTTATCTGCGGCCCCGCCGGAAAGTGAAATGCTTATGAAAGTTCCGACTGCCCCAGCCGCCCTCCTGTTTGACCTTCTTCGGTGGATTTGCCATGCAAAATTAAATATATAGCCTTAAGCCCGGCTCCCTGCTAATTTGCCGGCTGAAGAATGCTACAGACCATCTAATGGAAGCCCCAGATACGGGCTCGAGTATGTGTGGGAATCCTTTTTTTCCGGCTCTTAGGCCACCCAGAAATGCACTACAGTGCTTCCAAAAAGATAAACAATGAAGTCTTGACCCAGTTCAGAGTTGCCTTTTGCGCTGCCCTTTGTCATCATCATCAGCGCGGATGGGTGGTGCCAAATCCACCAACTTTACATACAAAAACGGACGCTTACCGAAATTGAGACAGCACCCGGGTTTACGTGGTGGGGCCAAGCCAAACCGATACATTCTCCTCACATTTTTTGCTTAGTTCTTTTTTTTTGCCCCGGTTGATATGGGGCAAAGTGCAGTCAGACAGTCATTGGATCATTTGTCTTGGCATTGTTGCTTTTTCCTATAGATTTCTTTTTCGGTCTTCTTTTCTATCAAGGGTTGAACGACAATGCGGGCATTTCTTCAGGCATTTCAGTTCAAAGGGTCACAAACAGGAAGGATGTAATATTGAAGGTACTACGTAATACTTACATATTGAAAACTTCTTTCGGAATTACAAATTTTGATTGATTAAAAGTCAAAGTTTAAAGCAAAAGTAGTAAATTAAATATAAATTGAAAGAATTTAGAAAACGGCTAAACTCAAAATGGAAGAAAAACGTGACTCTTAAGACTGATCTAAACATGTATAATAACATTTAGTATAATTAACAAAAAGTGTAGTTCTAAAAGTACACACCCATTATATTTTAAACTATCCAGGAATTTGGGCTTAGATTGAAAAGTCTTAATTTTAATAGTTTCCTATAGTTTTACAATGCTGTTGCCCACACAACCTGTTTGTAAATTAAGAAATTTATTGCGGTGGCTTACAGATTCCTATTTTTGGTTGCGATTTCTTAGAGTAAATGAGTCATGTGTCTCTAATATTAAACTTTTCAAAACAAAGTATCTAGTTAATTGTCATTTAAAAATTGTGAAGGAATATATAGTAGGAAATAGCCAATGTTTCAAAATAAACAAACATAAGAATATATTTCGTAAAAATTCATTATTTACTTTGTCACTTAAGTACTGTTGTAATCTATTAATCTCCATTATATGTGCATTTAAATAACTTTTAAGCTTTTGATTATCTTTTTTGAATGTCAATTAGGAGACAATGTATTCATTTACTCCTCTACAATCTTGCTGTAGGGTGTTGCAGCCCGCCTCGGACCCCCCATTTTAAAGGATTTTCACCCAAAATGATGCTCTCGAACGGCCCACACAGATACACCACCACTACACACACATTTAGCTGGCAGGGGGCAAAAAAAAAGTTACGAAAGCAAACAGAATCACTGCCCCCTGACTGGAGCTGAATGTTCAGAGCAAATGAAGGTGTCAAAATGACAAGCAGAGACAGCTAAAAAAAAAAAGGGAAACGAAGGATGCACACACACACAAGACATACACACATACAACACACACACAGAGACACACTTGTGCACACACAGATACAAGTGGAATGGGTTGGACGTGCGATGGATGGATGGCCGCCTTCCTGGCCGCCCCTTTGGGCCCCGCCCCCCGGCCTGTTAGCCCGGCTAACTGTGTAAATGGCAAAGCGACAGCAGCATTTGCTAACTTTGCTGCTGCAGCAACAATGGCGACAACAACAACAGCAACGGATACTACATAAATGTATCTATAGCTCTATATCTATCTAAGCGATGGCCGTGCATTGTATTGCAGTTACGTGCTCGATGGTCCAGCAAAATGGCGAAGCGAAAAAAATCTCTGAAACAAAATCAACAAAGAAGCACTAAGAACAGCAGGGGTCTTTTCGTTTTGCAAAATCTTGAATACACTTCTCATATAAACATGGCTAAATCTTCGATGCAGCCCGGTCTAAAAATACGCAGCAAGGAATAAATTTAGAGATGTACAGATGGCCTTGTTGAAAAGAGACTTTGATGAGATAAACAAGAAACCGATTAATTTTGTAAATTTATATTTCTTTTTAAACTAAGTTAAACTTTATTTAACTATCAAAAACTTAAAAAATGCTGATTTTGTTTGTGATTAAGCTCTTTTTTTAACAACAACAAAACAAACCAATACAATATTTATAAAATTATATTGTAATGTTAAGTCATTTAAACAAAGTGTATTTTACAAAAACTATACACAGAAAATGAAAGCCTAACAATTTTGCCACTCATAAGCATTTTTATATATTCAAGTCATTTGACAATAATAATTTAATGTATTTTTCACAAAATTATTGAGAGGTACGAGAAGCAGAACATTCGTAAACTTTTTTAAAATTTTAGAAATAAACTCGCAATTTATAATAAATCTAAGCAACCAAATACCTCATTTTATTTATGTAAATTTTACTTACATGTGTACATTATGAGCCATTTGAAATTAACTAAGTGTATTTTACAGAAAACTATTAAATGAAAATAAATTAAAATATTAATAGAAAATATTAATAGAAAGATGATCTTAAAGTATAAATTATTTTATATTCTTATAGTTTATTTCCTAATGACAATGCCAAAAAGCCACATGTTAGGGCATCGTGGCCAAAATGAAGCCAACAAAACAGCTTAAAGACTTTGGCAATGCCAACTGCTTACTCACTTGCCAAAATCGCAAAGCGGATTTAAGTTGTAGCCAAACTTTAAATGAGTTCAAGTGGATTTTGGGCGCACATCGAACTCCGCCGCCCCCTTTTCCAGTTACGCCCCCTCGCCCACTACACTTCTGGCGCTGATGAAGCATAATGATGATGGCTTCGCCTGGCTGATTGATTGATTGATTGATAGCTAAAGGATCGGTCGGGGAGCTCCCTCGATTTGCACTTGAAACTTAGGCACGGTCGCCCGCAAATGAAATTCTAACAAGAAGAAATTCAGATTGCTCATACGCCACGTCAGTCGTCGTGCGGTGGATAATTTTAGACCAACGATGCACATTGCACCCCCATCATCTGCCCCATACCTCCGCACTGCACGACCAATTAATTTCGTTCAAATAATTATGAATGTTTGAATATTTTTTGTTTTTAAATATTTTCTATATATCAGAGCGGCAACGAGCGTTTTTTATGGCGGCCGTGAGCCGGAAGTGCCAGCGAAAAGTGTCGCACCAGCAAACTGGCAGCGGACGGCGAACAGCGGACTGTGGACTGTGGACACACACATGCCGTTCTCCCGGCGGCGCCAGTTGCATTCGGAATGGATCAGTGGACGGGTGTGCACCGGGCGTTCGTCATTCGCTCCTACTACAAGAGCAACGACTCCATCAGCACCGCCCAGCGGCTTTTCAAGAAGCAGTTCAGCATTTACCAAACGCCGCCCACGAATGTGATCAAGTCCTGGCTGAGGCACTTCGAGAGCACGGGATCCTCGCAAGGAGGCTGCGGTGGCTATGCCCGATCCTCGCTTCCAGTAAGTGGAATTTAATGGTTGACATATAATGTGATATTGCTTAGATATCACACAAGTTATCCCAAGTCTCAGCCTATTTTTCCGAAAACCTCTTAAGCCTCTGGAACATACTTTGATCGATTTCAAGCAATCCAGTATAGAAATTTTAAAAGTGCGAAATAAAAATAATTGTATGAATTATATGTAAGACAAGTCATATAAATTCCACCATTCCGTGATACAACTGCTAGACACTGCTCCCAGAAATTTTAAGAATTTTCAGCATGAAAAATGGGTCAGTTAAATTTTATGGGTTTTTTGAGTGATTTGCAATTTACACTACACCAATGTAAGGTTTCTTATAATTGTCGGTCATTTTATACGGAGGTTTTATTTGTAAGCTTAAATTTTCTCTATGGCTTAAAATGTTTTAATTAAATCTATGGGATAAAAGTGAAATGAATTTGTATGTAAAGTTTTCTTCTTCTAATTTTGAAATTAACTTTTAAAGCTTCCCAAATTTAACACTGTTTTTTAAATGCCTCAATTGAATTTGGAGAAAAACAGTGTATTTAAAATGAATAAATATAAAAATCTAAGAAACGTTAAAAATTTTTTTATAATAGTTTTTCCATACTTTTTGAACACAATATTTTAAAGTATTTTCCATCTTTATTGAATTAAAAGAGATGATAGCAAGCCCAAAATATAATGCTTTTTAATATAGTGAATCAATATGGAAAAATATAATGGTCCTAATTTATTGCCCGCAACTGTTTATAAAAACCAATACCATTACCAATTGAAAAACGCATTCTATTTTTCCAGCAAATCTTCTGCACCATTTGCAATCAATGCCTGAGTAATGAAAAAAACTTTAGCAGCTCCGTGAAGTGAAGTGGATATGCACATGGCGCATAAGTTAATCTGTTTATCGTATATAAGTTAGTGTGTATGATTCGCAAATAAATTTCTTGGCTAATTAACAAGCTTGCCAAATCAACACATCTGCCCGCTGGCTGGCTGGCTGTCTTGACCCACTTGCTTGTTTGCATTTCTGAAATATGTATACGCAAAACCAAAATCAGAAATTCTTTTGAGCAAGTGTGTCATGAAATTGCCATTCGTTTCTGCTCTATATACCTGGGCAGATAAAAACACATTTTCCAAATATATCTACCGACGTGAGTGTACATATACAAACACAAATTGGTAAGTAATCCAGCAAGATTAAATCGTAATTCATTGGTCCCACACCTCTGGCTCCATTAGGTTTGTTCTCCTGCAAATTTTTCAAGCTCAATATGTCACTGTGGTCGCAGCTGAAGCTGGTGGAGTGGTGTAAGGAAGTCTACAGGGACTATCACTCCTGGTCATTCGTCAAGTGTTCCCTGGCCTTTTGCGCCGGAGTGCTCCTGGTCCGAGGCCTCGACGGCAAATTGCCGGACAGCAGCCTGGTTCCCAATATTATGGCCTAGAACTCGTTGGAAATTGGACCACAATGCTGGTCATCCCACCAAATTGACTCCGTAAAGGAAAAAAGGTTGGCTGAAAAGGAAGTCTAAGTAATTCGGACACCATTAAACGTTTTTTGTTGAATTAAAATCGATTTAAAAATATAGTTTACAAATTTAAAAAATTTTCTGTAAACTATTTCAATTTAAATTTTTAAGTAAATGGTTTGGCAAACATTTGAAAGCTAAAGTACCGAGTGATTGTTTACTTACCAAAATATAACCTGACATTTTTGGACCAATATTATAATATTATGATAATAATCAGAAGAAATAACATTTTTGGACTTCCCTTTAAATAACTTACTTATTATTAAACACAAGTTTCGATTGGTATGCCGCAATCTGTGTTCAAGTGTCCAAAGCTTCTACATCTTCTACATCTTCAGTTGCTTTTGACTTTCATTTAGTTTATAACATCACTCCTTGCGGACCAATCAAAACTTCAGTTGTCAGCTTTTGGCAAAAAGTAAATCTCATATTAACCATTTTCCGGATGCCGTATTTACTCTGACGCCTTGCTGAAAATGTCCACTTTACGGGGATGTCATTGGCTTGTCATGTTGCCTTGAGTAAAAAACCATGTGTGAGGCCTGCTGACAGGCATCCTGACGCAAGATGATTCCCCAAATGATACAGCCCCTCATCCTGCTTAGAGATTACAATCGGAAAATGCGCATAAGGTTTTACATTCCGCCCGTCGTTGGCATTAGTTTGAGATATGTGCCGGCAACGCCTCCTGCCCTGCGGCAAAGAAAATAAAATTAGGAGCCGCTTTTTGCCATAAACATAAAAATTGTTCCTGCATTTTCCCGGAAAGCATCCACCAAGAAGGCGGTCCGTCCTTGGCCCGCAGCGATTCCTTGGCATCATAATTTCGAAATGACAGGTAATTTGGAAGCAGCAACAGGAACGGGAAGTGGAAGTGGAAGTGGCAGTGAATGGTGGCACCTCGATGACTGAGGCACGGGGGGATGTGTATGAAGTGCGAGTACCAAATGGGAAAATGATGCGGGTTTATTAAGTATCGTTACTCAAGAGGAAAACCTGCCCAGATACCCAGATACCCCGAACCAAATCCCACGCAACAAATTTATGATGCGCCGTTTCCAAAAGATGCAGAAAAATTTATATTGTAAATGTACTCGAGATGTAATAGTAGGGGGGCAACTCTACCTTTCAGAGCTTGCAACCACCCAGTGATTTAAGCTTGTGAAAAAAAACGCTGCCGCACATGAACATGCAACTAATGAGCTGAGTTATTTCCAGAGGGGGTGGTGGTGGGGCAGCAGTTACCTGGTTACCTGGTTCCCGGAACACGCCACAGGGAGCTCAGCTCGTCCTGTCCGGGTGGTTTAAGCCCTAATTGAAATTTAGATAGCTGCTACGTGCGCCAGTTGGAAAATCATCACCAGGTGTCAAGGCAGGTGATGAGTTAAACAGCCGGAATGGCGGAATGCGTGGGGCAATTGCCCTCGGAATGCCAAAGGATCTAATTCCAGCACCAGGACTGGAAGCTAGGACACACAGGAATGCAATTTAGATAAAGGTTTGCAATTTATAAGAGTACACTCTTTGGAATATAAGGATGACAACGAGATAAATGATAAAAATAAATTAAACACCATAAAAATATTTTATTAGATTAAAGCTAATATAAGTAAAATATAACAATTGCAACATATGATTACATGCAAAGGCATTCTTTATATTTCTTTTCGATTGGTTTATTTAAGAATTAGTTAAAGTATACTCATAGCAAAATAACCCCTAAATTTAAGAAATTCGCAATAATACTTTTTTTTTTAAATCTAAGAAAAGATTTTTATTTCTATTTTCAAGAAAAACAGCGCGTAGTTTAAAATTTAAAATAAAGTTATCTCAGCATGTTCACCTTAATAACTTTTAACTTAATCATTTGATTGCCAATAGAAAATGACCAGATAATTATTATTTAGTTATTAGGCCACAGCAAGATTGGTAAAGACGTTGGATTATATCAGTGGATTTAAGTGTATGTAGGACGTATCTGTCATCACAGCAGCCATATTTCATTATAGAGAGCCTTGCAGCTCGTTTAACATTTGGCTATTAAAAATGGCGCCATTGATGCGAATATTTATTGTAGCCAGGCTTTTTCATAATGTTGGATTATCTAGGCACATGTCTTGCCAGGATTTATGTGCCAGGAATCGCACACAAGAGAGGAGCAGGGGGCGAAGGCGAAGGCGCAGGCGAATACCAAGAGTCAGCTTTAAGCCGTAAGGAAATTGAAATCTTAAGCTTTATTGTTTCACTGGCCGGCCCCTCTTTTTCCATCTGTGGGGCTTTGCCCGCGCGACGCATGCAAAGTGAAGCAGGAAAGTGAATAAAACTGCAGCAAAAGCAATTTTCATAAATATTTAATGGATAATGGCGAAAATAAGCGCAAGGAGCACGGCACAGCGGCATGATGAGAGGGCAGGGAAATGGCCAGCCGTACATGTGTCTGCCCTTCCCCCCACCAATTTTCCGGCCAATCTCCATCCATTGTCGATGTATTGTTATGTTTGTGTAGATATATGTGCGGCTCTCCAACAGGCACTCCACTCCTCCATATTGATATGTCAGCATAACATATGTGGGTATGCGAATCTCAGCTTTTAGTTTCGACCCAAGCCCAGTGATTCTCATTAAAATAACAGAAAAACGGATAAAACGAAGTGGTATGTTTGTCTCGACTTTTGCTTTTCCTTTAATTTAAACAAATGAAAATAAAAAAGATATTTTAAATGATTTTAATGTCCACAAAAGTAGGCAATGAAAAATAAACAGTTTTTACTGCTTAAGCCTTTTAAGATTTTAATGAAACTTCTGCATAATAAGATTAATCGGTAAATATATGTATTGTCTTTATAAAAATTGGATGCCATTTTTTGTGTGAAGAAAAAGGTGTAAGTATATTAGCAACCAAGACAAATGCATTCCCTGATGGATAATATCTTAGAAATAACGGATAACATTTTAGATGTTAAGAGCACAGAATAAGAAATGCAATTAGTATATTTTAATATATTTATTTCTATAAAAAGAAAACGTTGTTTTCTACCTATAAAAAATTAGTTTTTTTATATACACAAATGTAAAATTTTACAAAGTTTTCAGATCTGGTACTTGTCTTTTTGTCATAATGAAGTGGATTAATTAAAATAGTATGCGGTAATTATTGTGTTAAATCATTTAGATTTTATATTTCGATTAGAAACTAGATGTTTTCTTTTTTTTTTTGTTTTCTTTTTTTTTTGTACTTTTTTTAATTGAAATTGTAGTTCCGAAAATCCGAAATGCAAACCGCTCGATACCCGTTACAGCCTGCCAATTACAGCGCATGAAAAGCCTGGAAAATGAGGGTAAAATTCACGCGAAATGGAACAGCCAGCGAGCGGCGTGTCCGTCCTTTGTCTTTATGTTGCTGCTGCTTTCTGGTGCTCCTCGTCCTGCAGTCCTGGAGTCCCGTTGTCCTGGGGTCCTTCAAGTGTGCCCATTACAGACGGCAGAAATCATAACAATAAAAGTGTGACAGGGCGGAAGGGCAGAGGCGGATGGCTGTTTTGGGGGCAAAAGCTCCCCTTACTTAATCGATGATGATGAATAATTGATTCGCTGCGATGCGCCCAAGCATGGAAATGAAAATGTCGGTGCAATGCGGGGAGCGGCTTTCTGTTTCTGCTTCTGTTTCTGTTTAAGTTTCGGTTTCAGTCCTTCCCATTTTCCACGTGTGTGTGTCGACTATGCGCGTTGTGTTCTTCTGTGTGTAACGAATGGCAAATTTCAGGAAGCGGAAATGGCAATTGCAAGCGATGGGAAAAGGCAGCAGAAAGACAACGGCTGAGGCAAATGTGAAGTTGTGCGCTAAATGAAATGCCAACACAGCAACACGGCCGTGCAAAGCGGAAATAGCAAATGCGAATGACGCTGGATTGTTGGACGCTTGGCTGGGCCAAAGAGGGGCGGGGCTCTCTTTTTTTTTGTTGAAGGAGGTGGGAGGGAGGGGGGGTCACGGTTGTGCCGGGCAGATGGGCAGACAGGTGCCAAGGTAGACAATTTGCCGGTATTTAAATTTCATTTTCTGTCCTGTTTAAACGCGTCAGGAAGCAAATATAAAGAAAGGAATGGCGGTCAGCGATAAACAGATTCTCTTAAAAAATATAGATAAGTTTTAATACATCCATCAAAAGGACACAATCGGTGGTATTATGAGCAACATGAATTTGGAAATTGAACGTAAAGTAGCTAGCTATATAAGAAAGACTATAATAAAAAATATGGGTACGAAACTTAGAATATTTTTAAAGTTTTTAATAAAATGTTTATGTTTAGTCACATTTATTTAGCCTTTAAATATGAAATAAAGAATGGAAAAGCCACGATATATATATTATATTATCCATTACTACTTTCAGTAATTAATTATCAAAACGTATGGTTTATAAATATCGATTTATCTAGCATTTCATTTAAGATAAATTTAAATACAAATCGTAAATCATACTGAGCAGTCAAAAACTTTTTCGGTGTAGAACAATTTCATATTTTTGTCTCAAAGAATTTTAAGCTCATGGATTTCAATTTCGCAATGCAGCTTAAAGTGCAATTTTAAATTAAAATAAACATATTCTCAGTGAAAAACGACGACAAAGGTGGGAATCCAATTTAATCATGGTTTTTTATTTTCCCTGGCTTTCTGAATTAAGTTTCATTTTCTAGCAAGCCTTTATCATTTGACACGCCACGGTGTCCGTAATTTTGAAGGATTTATTCTTTCCTTCCAGGCTATTTACAAATATAATCGAATTGAATATTTAAATGTTTGGCAGGACGAGAGTCGCCAAATTTCGCTGGCAAAACTGGACGAATCAAAACCAAATGCAGTGCCTGCGGCTTCTGCGGATGCTGGCTGCCTGTCAGCCTGGCACAAAATTAGATTTAAATATTTGGCATTTTCCATCAATTTTCATATAATGTAGCCTGCCCCCCTCACCCCCTCTATCCATTCGGAGGAGATGCAGGTCCTGTTGCATGGAGGAATGCTGATAGTGAGTGGGATTCGGCTGTGGCAAGTCATTCCAGCCCACTCCCAATGCCACACACACATAAATACATATATAGGGATTGAAAGACAGGCACACAACCACACATGCTCAATCATTTATGCAGCAATCAGTGCTGACGTCTTTTCCACACGTACGATTACCGGCATAGAGAATCGGGCCCTACTCTCGGTTATGTGGAGCATATTGGGAATCGAAATTGAGTGCGGGTTAACAATGAGGCAGCTGAGATTGGGGCAGCTCCTCCTGAACCTCTGTTGCCAGTGAATTTCATGAATTTAAATCAATGGGACCGGCTGCTCAAGGATACCTGAAAACTTCAAAAAGTAAGTATGGGCATTATAAATATTTAAGTGCGACCTATGAGAATTATTTATATATACATACTTTTCACTACTGATAAACAATATACCCCCTACTTTTACCTTCTACCTGTTACATATTTTTTCGAGCCACTATTAACCACTTAATAATTCATTCATCACATCAAACACAACCATTTTTTACAAATACCTATCCTTATAACCATTATTTAAATTGTCCTTTATATTTTAATAATAAACTCATGAACTCGAGAATCTAAAAAAGCATTATTCTTTACATATCGCACAGTGCAACAGCACGAAAAAGTCGATTGGATGATTTGAAGGTTGAAATCAAATTAAGTCGAGTGAATAAATTGACTTTTAGTGCATATCAAATTCGCAAAAAGCGCACCAAAATAAAAATGAAATGAAAAAAATGCGTTGAACAAATAATTTGAAAACGAATCCATCGAAATTCATCGTATTCAGGCAGTGAAAGCTTATGGAAAAGGCAGTGAGATGTGACAAGCCAAAAAAAAAAATAAAAAATATAACCAAAAGCAGAGAATTGAGAGCTGAAATAAAATCATAAAGACCAAGGAAAAATTGTCTTCCTGATGGTCTTTCATGGTGAAAAGTTGTAACTTCAAAACTAAACAAAAAAGGGAAAAGAAAGTAGTCGTTGAAAATATTGCTGGTGGGAGAGACCCTTAACTTCCACAAAATCAAACTTCTCTTCACAATTGCCACATTGAATATATTTTTTAAAAGATACAGTAAAAAATTGAGTATTTATTAAGATGAATACCGAGGACTTGGTGGACTTCACCGAGTTGATTAGTTGCAAGAGCCGATGCGAGGAACTAGCTCTGCCCAATGTGCAACACATCAAGGATATACGCGAGTTCATGTCCGATCCAGAAAACTTTAACGGCGATATTGATGAGTTGACTGGTCGCCTAAATGCAAAAGCAGAGCAATGCCACAATGTACTACAGACCTTGAAGGAAAGGCTGCAAACAAAAACGGTGTCTTTACAAAAGGTTAAGGAGGATATTTTTGAATTAAGTGCGGAGATTAAAAAGCCTAACAATCGATTTGTGATGAGCAATGAGAAAATACAAATTCGTTTCTTAGACGAAACTGAGACCAAGGAATATGAGGCGATCGAGGCTATGGATCGTTATGGTATCAAGATGAGCTCCCTTTTTAGCGAAATCCTGGCTTTGGATAGCGATGTTGATTGTGTGACCTATTTGGAGGGAGTTTCCCGAATCAATATAGAGTATGTAAAGGACTGGTATAAAAGTGAGATTCAAAATAAGAATGATGAAGTCCCACCAAATCATTAATTCACCCGAGAGACCGAATAGTTTTGAAGCTTTTCAAGCCAAATTTGTATCAGTTTGTTAAACCATTCACAATCTTTAAGCCATCCCCAGTGAATAAACACAAAAGCAAGTTTACTGTTTAATAAAATGCATTTTAAAATGGTATTGGAAAGGGTCTGTAATTAAAAAAACAAACCCTTACTGCTTGGAATTTTTAAATAATGTTTTAGGGAAGCTTTTCTACACGTTTAAAGAGTTTAGCTTTAAGTAATCTTCTTCGCTATTAAATCCTATCCCTGAGAAACCCTCCTCTGAGATTGGCTCCTCCGAGTTTTTCTCCCTGCTTCCTGTCCTTCCTCCTGTTCCTCCTTTCCGTTTACCTGTCACTGCCAGCCCACTGGCCGCTTCATCTTCATTCCCCGTCCATGAATAATCCGTGCGACACTTGCGTTTTATGGCTTTGCATAGTTAGGAGCTGTTAAAGGAGGGTCCTGCTCCTGGACAGTGTGCTCAGGGTGCTCCTCTTAGCCAGCGTTTAACCGGACCTGGGGAGCGAAATCTGCAGCTGCACGGAGAAAACAGCATAAATACCTTGCAAGAATTTCATTTCTTTTTTTTCAATAAAAAATAAATTCCAAGGGGTCTTAGTTCTCTAGTTTTATAATATTATGTGTTGCCAATTTCATCCCTTTCTTTTTATAAAACCCCCCCTACTGCCAACTGTCGAAGTAGTTCAATATTGATAGGTGCTCACTATGACAAGTGATTTAAAAAAGAAAGTTAATTTGAATCAATTTTAGTTATCCAATAATTAGGATGCGTAAAAGATTTGGAATGTGAGCATCTATGTCATTGATGGCTTATATAGTGCCAGAGATAATGTACATATTAAAGACTTAAGTTAATGCATTATTGTTATGGAAATATTTTTGACTTAAGATAATTTATTTCTTATTTTTGTACTTAGAAACCTTCCTAAAGGGAAAAATAGCCCAATTTGTTTAATATTTATGAGGTCAATTGTCTTATTTTCATATCGTAAACAGAGAATTTATATATTTTTCTCTATGTGTGTTTTAGTAAGTTGGATGGCGAAGCAGGAAGCCAACAACAGGTTGCGTGCCAATGCAGTTTTTCATTGTGAAATGTCGGCGCTGATAGCGAGTGTAATTATTATGCTGGACTGCGGGTATATTCCAAATGGTGGGGGAGGGGTTTTGGTTAAGGAAGAATAGTTATATTTCTGATTCTTTACACTCTTACTTGTTTCCCACTTTTACTGTTGTTGCTACCCACTTTCAGACGCATAAATGCCGCTAGTTATGCAATAAATAAAATGCAATTGTTGCGCCAGAACGGCTAAAAACTGGATTGTGAGTTTTGCGGAGGGGGGCGGGTGTCTTTTTGGCTCCGGGTTTTGCCGCCATGTTTGCGAACAACTGCAAGATGGCGCCCCGCATCCGTTATAGCTGAACATCCCATCCAGCGCACACTTTCGCTGCTTTTGTTGTTGGGCGTCTGCTACACTTCCGGTTGCTAAAGTTGTCGCGTTGGGTGCGTTTTTTGTGGGGGTGTGGGTGGGATGTCCTGTGCCAGCTTACTTTGGCTCTGCTTTAATTTGACAAAATATTTAAGGAGCGGCGAAATTTACGCTCCTCGAACAGCAGCAGCATCAAGGCAAAAGGTCAAGGGGTGGCATAAATAATGCAGCGAACAACGAAAACGACAAAGTTGCGGACTTGAGCTAACCGGCTGCTGGCCAGAACTCACTTGGCCTGCATAGAAATTCCAGTTTACAGTTGCTAATTGAGTGTGCCGAGTCTGTGCAGGTGGCCTAATGTAGGTAATTAGTGTGGGCAACTTTGCCAAAAAGATTCCGGCACAAACTTGCCACGGACGGGCTTTTGTCAATTGCATAAGTTGTAGTCGTGGGCGGAAAATGCATTAAATGTAAGATTGGATAACAAAGGTTTACATTTAGGAGATGTCTATGGGCAGCTTAAATCAATTCGAGTAATCCTTTAGTATTTAAAGGTAGTTAATTGGGCAGAAAATTGGAATATGGATTAGTGTAAAATTAATTTTGAATAGTGGTAAGAGTATTCAAGTCGTTAAATCTGAAAATAAGTACTATAACTAAAGAGAGATAACTTCTGAAAATACGTATTAATACTAAAGAGAGTTAGCATTGTTCAAGACTTAAGCAACACTTCTATTAAAACATCACAATAATAACAGAGTTCCTTACGGAATCAAAGAAAAATTTAAATATTTGAACACACTTACTTCACTTAACAAAACACTTACTAAACAAAATCAAAACAACATTTCTTTAAAAAAAAATTCCATAATACACTCACACTCTGAAAATTATGATAGTTTATGGCTCCAGCAATTGGTATTATTATGGATATATACCATTTCATAATCGAAAGGCTGTGACATCGAAAGGGCTGTCACTAAAATGACAATTTAACAAACCATTATGTCTAATAATAAACGTCAAAGTGAATCTAGCAAATATGGGATAGCTCTCAGGCAAGAAACATAAAAGCCTATACAAATTTATGGGCTTTTGGCTAACTGGAATTCCATGTTTGGGCGTTGCTATGCATTGGGTTAAAACTCGATTAAAGCCACGCACAAGCACACCGGGATAATGCAGTTGTTGTGGGACTATAGCTGACCAGTTTATGGTCAATTCGAGAGCTGTCCGAGAGCATCCACCGGCAGGACTCAACGATCCAGGACAGGTGGGCGGGCTTTTGTCTGGACGACGTGGACAACTTGCCACATGTGGCAAATTAACTTAAAATTAAGCAATTAATTTAATTAGAGCACGGCATGTGCACAGTGCGGCCCCAAAGATTTGCCGCACACGCAACAGTTGCAATTAAGCAGCCTTCGCACACAGATGCCCCCGCACACACACACAAGCACAGTCACACAACCACACACTTACACTCAAACTCACACAAACGGGGAAAACAATGCTGTTTCAGCTGCAATTGCATTTTAAGCGCATGCGGATATTACAAACTCAAATTGATAAAGCCAAACCTGTGCACATGTGTGTGGCACGTGCAAAAACAGCAATAAAAACCTGGTTATATAAGTTGAAAAATTGGCTTACGCCTGGGACTCAGCGTTGCCAAAGAAAATCAAGTGCCAGCACATATGCCATTCGAATGCAATTCATTTCTCCATTAACCAATTAAACGCAATTCATCAACTGACATTCGCAATTTACAAAAAAAAACACCGTATTAATAAGGGATGTGTGTAAAAAGTTTTATAAATTAAAATTCGTACTGACAGCCAACATTGAAAAGGTTTTAAAGTCAAACGGAAATTGCTTTCAATTAAGTGCAAATTTAAATTTAAATGCTTTCCCGTAAAAGTTTTTAAAATATACTTCAGAGCGGCAGTATTTTGCGAAATATCATTGTCAAATGAAAAGAAAGGTGAAATAAAGAAAATCCCTGGGTACCTCAATAAATTCTGCTGTGAAATAAAGTTTTCAAATAATGTTGACAATTGTACATTTAATTTTGAGCAGAATTACCTCTTAAACTTTATAACAACTCACTGCATATGCTATTCATTTGCTCTGTACACCAAGTTGTAAAAATTTAATTTTTGACAATTTATATGTTAGAAAAGTAACATTAAATATTTGGGAATAATTTTGTATAAATATTTCTTTGCTTGCATAACGTTTTAAGCAAGACAAACAAATATTTCCTTGTTTTGGAGCTGTAATTAATTAAAATAAGTAAACTCTTGTCAATGAATTTGTTTTCAGTCAATGTATTTCACGCTTATGGCTAAGATCCAATTAGAGTATATCGTTATTTATATTGTTAAGTCATCAAGCACTTTCTGCGGCATTTGCTGCTGCCAAAAAAGGGAAATTCATCCCCATCAGCATGCTGTACAGCTTTCTGCTATCGAAGAGAATAGAAAAAGTATAGAAAATGAGTTAAATGATTGATAAGCGGCTTAGTGGTGATTTTATTTATTTTAGCTTACTAGATCGAGTCGGAGCACTTGCCCTGGGCATCTCGCACTTGATGATTTCGGCAGCGTGCTGGTTTCTTTGTTGCCGGCATCGAAGATCGTTGAACCTTCACCTTGAAAATGGGCGAGTTGTGACCTTTGGGCGGTGTGTACTCAATGCTCTCGGGCAAAGTGGGCGGTGTAATTGCAGCAGCAGCAGCCGCTGCAGCCATTATGGGTATATCCTTGGATCTGGCATGGAGTGGATGGGGATGAGGATGATGCAGTGGCTTGGCTGTGCCCCCAATCGGTGTCTCCACGATCATCAGATTGTTTAGCCTGGATCTGGGCTTAGATATGCTGGCCGCGATGTCAGCTAGAAGATTAGAACTGAAGCTGGAATTTAGCTTGACCTCGCCGACGGTGGATGTGGTTGCCACAGAAGTTGCCACAGGGGCAAGTGTGGTAACTGGGCTCTCCGGCGGTGCTGCCACCGATGTGGTGCTCGCTGTGGTGCTGGTGCTCGCCTCTGTGGTTAACTTGATCGGTTTGACGGTCAACGCACTGTCATCATAGTAGTAATCCTCCTCATCGTTGTACGTCTCCTAATTGAGAGATCCAAAGTTATTTTTAGCACGCTGGCAACTCGTTAGCTGCATATTGTTTAACTGGTTTTCGGGTTTCCCGCACTCACCTCAGCCAGTCCATTCTGGCCCACCTCGATGATGGCCACATCCTTGATGCTTACGTGGATGTTGAATCTGCCCGTCTGTCGCTGATCGAAGACCACTCGCCCTGAATCGGGCAGCTCACTAGTGGCCGGCGTTTCAGCCTCCTCGATGGGCAGCGTTTGGACCAGGCCAAAAGCCATCAGTGTGAGCGACACCAGCAGCATTTTCAAATTGAAACCAGTTCTAAAAGGGCACGAAAATAATCTCTGCTGCCAACACGAGTGTTCTTCTTGAAGGTGCGATCACAACTGCGTTGCTCGCTGTGCTCGAAGGCCCTACTTAAAGGCACAACTTAGCTGGGCAACACTGTAGAAAAATTGCTGTCATAACATGGGTTACATTGTCGTAATTTCATTTTAGAGTGAGTTAAGCTACAATAAATTTTACATATTTCTTCAGAGAACCAAACTCCAACCGAAAAACGTATTTCTATGCAACAAAACTCTCCTAAAATCTTTAGAAATAAAATCTTAAATAATTTTAAAACAATAAAGTAGACTTATTCTATTTAGAGCTGCCCTCAGGACAATGTTTAGGTGGACAATATTTTATCCCTTTTTGAACTTATATTTCTCCCTACTTTTCTCTTTTTCATGTCATGGAACAAACGCATATTTGTCTTATGATTTTTGGTTTTAAGGCTGGCAAAATCAATTGGCCCCAATTTAAGCACGACTCTGTGCAAATAACCTGCTTTTAAGTCTTAAGCATTTCAACTGCACCGATTAAGGTGCATTCAAATACTCCCATGCACATTTAAGCGGGACCATATCTAGCCCGATGCATATACATAAATATATGTCCACAATATTTACTCTCTACTGGGCAAACACAAACGCCACATCTGATGTGCTAAAGAGTTGCTCAAAAGAGCTGGAATGGATAGCTGTAAACTAAGTGACCAACAGCCGGGCTAATACCAAATACATATAATGATAAAGGTAAACAGATAGACATACGAGCAAATAGTCCAGCAGTCCAGTTGAGTTCACTTGAAGTCTGAGTGACGTGGGAATAGTTTCGATGTGTTTAAGCATATTAAACTATTTAAATGGGTATTTAACGCCGCCTATATTGAGAGTTATCCCCAATGTAGATAAATCAGGATAGAGCTTGAGATTTATGTTCTACCATTTATATACCGTACTTAACCCACAAACAAATCATAATTCAAGGTTCAGCAGGCACGACCATTCGAAGTTCATCGAAAACTCATTAATTAATCGATACCTAGATCCATCTAGTTCTACCTCTCCAATTAGCTTCCATTGAGCAATTAGGAGGTCAGTTTCTTGTGCGTAGCCAATCAACGCTTCGGGTCGATTTACATAACACCTAACCACTAATTATGCAATTATGCAAGCCAGTTCCAGGGAAATCATATGCCAAGACCACTTCTCGACCACCATGGTCCCTCATTTGTATGCAACGTCATGCAGAGTGCAAAATCAGCATTTCTCATTAGATGAAATTCTCAGATCCCAAAGCGAAGAAAAAAAATATAGCCTCAAAAAATTAGATTAATTTGAAATGAAATTTCATCCAGCTGCCCGCCGCTTTCCACTTTTCCTTCGGGGCTGGGCGGCATTTGTAATTAGTTTTTAGCGAATCCTGGGCCGCAAACATTTCAAGGTTTAATGCATGGCTGGCAAGCCTTGAGAAAACTTTTTCGTCTTTTGGGTCAGAGTCAGACCTCTGTCAAGCTCAGCTAAAAAAAGAAATAGACGGAGAAGGGTAGAAAGGAGCTGGCCGCATATGAAGTGTATAAATTACACTTCATCATGAATTTATTATCAGTGCTGCAGCAGCTGCATCTGGAGCTGCCACGAATGCACCACTGCAGCACGCTGGCTCAGCACAAGATGTGCTCCTTTGCTTCTCACCTGCACACAAACACACACACAACAAGAAGGGATTTCGCAGAACGAAGTTGGGAATACCCTTTTATCATTACATACATTTTAAGGAACATGTAATAACTCAATAGACAAATACATTTAGGGTTTATTATAGTTTAAAATCTAGGAAAGCGCTCTCAAATCATACATGTTTTTATTTACTTAGAATAATTTCCAATTTCTATATTCATAAAAGTTTTCAAAGCTTAAAATCATTATCATAAAATAAATACCATTAATTTTCTTAATTATTTAGATAACACAGTTATTTCATTATCATTATTATCCACTTATAATTTTAAACATTAAAGTCCTGAAATTACTATAATTATCGTATTATTTATTAGCACCTTTAAAATTATAAACTTATTTGCAGATTTTTAAAACTGATGTAGATTTTTAACTGCTACCTTGAACCTTAAGAAGTATTTATTTCTATTTTTACCCTTGTCAATTCTTTTAAGATTTTTTAAATGTTGGTTTCGTGTTACTGGAAAGGTTATAAACTTTCTAAAAATCTTAAAAACTCTTAAGAAAGAGTATGAATGGGGTGCTAAACACGCAGCCCTGGCAACAACATTGCTCGTGGAATGTTGACCAGAGCATGCATTTTTCGCGCCAGCCAACTTGAAATTGTGTAAACTCAGCGAAAAAATATTAATTCTAATTTCCAAAGCCATCCCAGACCAAGCACTTTCGCCTTTGCCGTAATAAATGCTTGTCGTTTAGCAGCACCTTTAATTCTGCACTTTGCGAGAGACGGAAGAAATTGTTCCGTGTGATTTTCCCCTTTTTTCTCTTTTTTACTGTCGTTATACGACCATTTGAAGCTTTCATCAATTAGCTCCTTGAAAGCTGAAAAAAGGAGACAAACGTTGAGTAGCTTTTAGTGTCGTAAGACCCAGGGAAAGGCTTATGCAAAAAACTTCTGCCTTTCCTACTTTTCGGCAAAAACGCTTTCGTAAATAATTGTCAGGCAAATAGGGCCCAGTTTGGTAAATCGGATTCTCGAGTGGATGAGTGAAATGGACTGTTAATTGCAAAAGCAGCAGATGTTCACTTGCCGAGATGCAAATTTTACACTTTTCTTAATAATGCCACTTTGAAGCAACTCGAAATGATTGACCTGCATTTTGAAGAGGTGTCGATTATAGCTCAATAAATTCACAACATTTTAATGGCAGAACGGATAACCCCAGATCAATATTTGAGTATATTAAACAAAAAGCGTCTTTCAAACGCTTGGGACAGCTCATTTTATAGAGGACATTTGTTGGCGTTACACATATATTAACTCTGCAAATAACAACTAAACAACCCGCATATAATTCAAATGATTGGAACACAAAATCGTTAGTGGTAAAGAGAACATTTGCAAAATGCCCTGTTGATTTTAACTTATAATTATATTAATATGTGGACGAGGTCATTGATATAAATCAGGCTTTTGTACATACATATTTTATATCTTTACTTAGAAAATAAATTACCCAATCTCAGAAAATGGGTTTTTGTGGCTTACTTTAAGAGAGGTGTCCATTAAAAGTGTGCAATAAATTGTGTTTTGCATTTATATTCACTTAATAAAAAGTTGTAAATAATTTTAGAGTCATTTATTGCTAGATGGCAATAACAAAAATAGAAACACATATTTTGTGCAATGATATGAAAATAATATAATTATCTCATCTTCCAGTTTTCTAATGTAAACAAGTGATTGTCAATGTCAAATGTTAAATATTTCCTGTCAGTGAGCCTAGACAATTTTTTTGATTAATGGCGCGATATATCTAAAGCTCAAATATGAAGGCAAACAAAAAATAGGCCTATCCCATGTTGTCAACGAGATTGTGTGTATGCACTTTGGCCTTAAACTGTCGGCAAGCGATTTAACCCAGCCAGGTGGCAAAATGAAAAAAATTAATTCGATAATTAAACACAGTGCGTTCGTCGTTTTAATCTCTGCGCACATTTTGCATATTAATCACTTAATTAGGTTAACATTATTAAAATAAACACGCCAGACTCTCTGCTGGTTTTGCGCCCGTATTTATCAGGCAAACACACGAGCACAAACACACACATGTTATATAGATGAGACTTTATTTTATGTGACGCAGGTGTTCAAAATGGTGGGCTCAAAGGCTCATTTAAGCCCACTCTGTATGTATGTGCGTTCATTAGGCCAACTATACATGAAGCCACCTAGCGGGCACTCGATGTACTCCCGTGAAAAGTTTTCACACAGAAAAAAAATTTACAAAGCTAGCAGCGTATTTTTAAATATTTAAATAAAGATAGGTAACTTAATGATATTCAAAACAAAAAAAAATTGTGTATAACATTTTACAAATCAATTTATTCTAATTTATTCACAAAAAAAAGTAAATAAACCAGTAAGTAACAGAGAACAATTATAATTGAAATTCAACTATTTTTTGACTTTTAGAAACTATATAAAAAGTTACCTTTTCTTTTCTACACCATATCTTCTATGACTAGGAAGTGATTTTACTATTTGATTTCCAAAGACAGAGATTGTAATTCTTTGAAAGGTTTTTATTTCAAAAGAAGTTGTTTACCTATGTCAGTGATATTTTTCCCCAGTGTACATGCGAGGAATGCCAACGATTAGATATGAAGAAATTCATACGACAGTCAAATAAACGCGGACTGCAGCCCAAAAGGAATGTGTGTGTATCCTTATCACAAGCCACATAAATAATATTTATTGTTCTTTATGGGGCAGCTCCAAGGGCCGCGAAGATGCCAACCCCACGGCCTAGTGTCAGTTGGGAAACATTCAAGTGTTTCAAATATTTTTTAACAGCTTTCCCCCGACACTCGCACACACACACACGCCCCAGGAAAATGTCTTCATTGCGCTTTAATGAAATGCGTGGGATGAAACGGGGGGTTGACAGCGAGTGGGGGGATTCCCCGTTTGCTCCTCTTATTTGCACTTTAAATTGCGCACAAAAGTATGCTCCCGCCTTCATAATAAACACAATTTATGTGCCGCCTACCTTTGCGTTCCCTTTTTTCTTTTTGGCAAACATTTCTCTGCCAGAACTTTGCGATTAAGTAATTCCAAAAGTTGTTTGTAAAAAATTACTCAAGTTCATGGAATGTGTTTGCTAGTAATATTTTAAATTGAGCGACACTGCCATCTGATATTAATAATATTTTTTTTGGGGCCATGAGCCCAGTGTCTCCGACGAAACTTTCAGCAGACTTTCCTTGAAGTAAGGTTCATACCGCCGCAAAGAGACATCAATCAACTTGAGCATCAATCATCCTGAGGTTCAGTTAGCAGAAGGTGAGTGACGAATGCCGAGGAGATGGCAGCCAGGATTGCAAGGTGACAACAGAGGAAATTATATTTGGACGGGATAATTGTTCAACGCTTGACTAAATAAATTCGAGTATTTTATTTTGATTTTATTATAGCAGCAATTGTTTTGGGAATATTAAAATAATTGTGGCCAGTCGAACTTTAAACTGTTCATATACTTTATTTCCCAGTAAGGTGGAAATATACTTTTCCTTACTTGCTGTACTTTTATTTGGCTTAAAGAAGGAGACAAATTAATTTGAATACTTTAAGCAAGGGGTTGACAACCCTCGACATATTCTGCTAACTCATTCGGCTTCTAATTGTGGCTTCAAACTAAAGGACTTAACCCCTTTTACATTTGATGACTTGCTGCTTTCGTGCTACTGAAAGCTTTAACTTTTAGATCTCGAGTTGGATAAAAAAAAACTATAAACGTGCCAACTTTTTAGGCGACCCAATGTTTCGATCAAGTTCAGTCTTATAAAATGTTCGGTGGATTGTATTTCGTTTGCGGGTTTTTGCTCTTTCGCAGTGTCTGGGGCATGCCTGTGCATCCAGTCGATGGAGGGAATTATGAATCGGAGTACATTCATAGTTTGATCAATCAAATGATCGCTGGATATCCCATCGAAACTCTGGTTACATATGGAGTAAATCGTGAGCTTCAACGATTTCGGAATATTGTGGCCAATTCCGTTGAACAAACGTTAACGGAGGAGTTTAAAGTACCAATTGTTGTTTGGGGACTAAGACGCAATGTCAATTTGCGCAATTTACTGGGCTACAAAACTATGATCTGCGTTAGCATTACTAGTGTTATCCCCGCAGAGGAGCCCATTTTTGATGCCCTAACCGATGGATTGGCAGGCTTGCACTACGTTCCAATGCTCTTTATATACAGTCGATTGGAAAGCATAAAGCCAACCAAAGTGCAGTTGAACATATTTTTCGCCTGGTGCTGGCGGCACAGGTTCACCAATGTATTCATCACCTTTCAGCATATTGTTGATACTAAATCTTATAAACCCTCTTGGTACAACGAACTGCATTCCTACACACCGTTTCCTGAACTCACTCTTCGAAATCTAACGCAGACGGGATATCAGTACGTGAACATATTGATGGATCTAAGGGGCTATGAGTTTCGAGTGCCTGTCTTTCAGGATGCCCTAAGTGTGTTTCAGGTATTAAATCTGTGTGAATCACACGAAATACAAAAGAAAGTTTGAAAGCATTGAGGGCTAACATAAAATTGTTATAATTGTCATCAGTTTAGTATTGGGAATCGGCTTCATAATTATAGAAATAATTACGGGTGTCACATAAATCTTCGACAGTTTTTGGAACGGTTGATTTCAAATTCAACTGAAATTTAACGTCGGATTCACAGAATCTGTAAGGTATTTGATGTGTATCCGGATTAAATTGGGTTGTACTTAAAAAAAAAGTTGATTTATTTAAAATTAAAGTGGTTTTTGTGACACCGAGATTTGATTTTTGTTTCGAGTTCGGTTTAACAAGTTTTCTATGGCACTTCTAAATGACTTTTTCGTGGAGTTTTAGGGAGTATTTCAAATGGTTCGTAGCAATTTGCAAAACTTAATAAGAAAATTAAAATAGTGAACTTAAATAAATACGAAGTCAGTATTTAAAAGCATTCGTTCAATTCCAGTCAGAACACAAATGTAATTCCCCTTAATAAAATTTATTTAATTTATTTCCCAGCTCAAAAACGGTCGTCTATCAGGGTCCCTGGGTCATCTGCTGGCCACCTACGTGCACCAGAGAAAGGGGCGTCTCCGCCTGGAGCCGGTCGCCGATGTGGACTGGTTTAACTACCCGGAGCACCTGATGCTGGCCGCTGCCCGCGGCGAAATCGAGATGGGCGTTCATCCGTATTCGCCAATGCAGCCGGGCTCCTCGTTGACGAGCGGCAGTTTCACGGTGGGCATTACCAAAACCTGTGTGTTAGTGCCGTGGCAGCGCGTATCGCCTGCGGCCAGATTCATGCTGATGACTGCCTGTGTGAATGGTCCGTTTTTCCTGGTACTCCTCCTAGCGATGACCGTATCCTGGAGGCTGTTGGGTGGGCAGGGCCGACGGGGCATTCACCTCGCGCTGGTGACCATCTTCCAACAATCGCTGCCGAGCAGAGAATTCCTGCGACTGGCGCAGTCCTACAAGTACATCCATGTTGCCATACTCTTCGGATGCTTTATATTGTGGTCAAAGCGCACGGCAAATCTGTCATCGGTCTTTACCTCGCAGGTAAGCGATTCCTCTCTGATTTACTGATACTGGAAAAAAATTAAAGGTGCACTTGCTTTAACTCTGTAATGTCTTGTAAAAAGGTGACCCGGAATTGGATTTCTAGAGTCCATAATTTTATAAAATTTAAGGCGATTTCAAAGTGACATACCTCCTCAGACTTTTGGATTAATTCTCAAAAAATATGCATTCAAATTTTTATACCCGTTACTCGTAGAGTAAAAGGGTATATTGTATTCGTGCAAAAGTATGTAACAGCTAGAAGGAAGCGTTTCCGACCCTATAAAGTATATATATTCTTGATCAGGGTCACTAGCCGAGTCGATATAGCCATGTCCGTCTGTCCGTCTGTCCGTCTGTCTGTCCGTCTGTCTGTCTGTCTGTCCGTATGAACGCTGAGATCTCGGAAACTATAAAAGCTAGAAGATTGGCATTTTGCATGCAGATTCTAGGAGTTCCTACGCAGCGCAAGTTTGTTTCAAAAAGGTGCCACGCCCCCTTTCACGCCCACAATCGCTTATATACTATTTTAAAAATTTAAATATTTCGGAAAAGTAAAAATGCAGTTTTATTGTGTTTATCAATACCTATCGAAATGTAGAAGAAATTTTTCAAATCGGACCATTCGTTAAAAAGTTATGCGTGATCAAAGTTTCTATCTCCATCTCCCTCGCACTCCCTTTACCTGAGTAACGGGTATCTGATAGTCGGGGCACTCGACTATAGCGTTCTCTCTTGTTTATTTTGACGTTGATCAAATTTTAGACCCATTTTCATGATAGTTATTGTTATGTTTCCGATGTCTTGTAAAATGGTGACCCACAATTGGACTTCTAGAGTCCATAACTCTACCGTTAAAGACTTGTGATTTTATTCTGCATTAAAAATTTTCAATTTAACGTTGATCAAAATTTTGACCATTTTCATGTTAGTTATTTCAAGTTTTCCGATGTTTTGTAATAGAGTGACTCAAAATTGGACTCCAAGAGTCCATAACTTTACCACACATAGGCCGATTCCAAAGTGGCATACCTCTAAAGTCTTGTGATTTGATTCTCTAAAAATCTGCATTCAAAATTTTCAATTTAACGTTGATCAAAATTTTGACCCATTTTCATGTTAGTTTTTTCAAGTTTTCCGATGTCTTGTAATAGAGTGACTCAAAATTGGACTCCAAGAGTCCATAACTTTACCAAACATAGGCCGATTCCAAAGTGGCATACCTCTAAAGACTTGTGATTTGATTCTCTAAAAATCTGCATTCAAAATTTTCAATTTAACGTTGATCAAAATTTTGACCCATTTTCATGTTAGTTTTTTCAAGTTTTCCGATGTCTTGTAATAGAGTGACTCAAAATTGGACTCCAAGAGTCCATAACTTTACCAAAATTAGGCCGATTCCAAAGTGGCATACCTTTAAAGACTTGTGATTTGATTCTCTAAAAATCTGCACTCAAAATTTCCAATTTAACGTTGATCAAAATTTTGACCCATTTTCATGTTAGTTGTTTCAAGTTTTCCGATGTTTTGTAATAGAGTGACTCAAAATTGGACTCCAAGAGTCCATAACTTTACCAAACATAGGCCGATTCCAAAGTGGCATACCTCTAAAGACTTGTGATTTGATTCTCTAAAAATCTGCATTCAAAATTTTCAATTTAACGTTGATCAACATTTTGACCCATTTTCATGTTACTTATTACTAAGTTTTCGATGTCTTGTAATAGAGTGACTCAAAATTGGACTCCAAGAGTCCATAACTTTACCAAACATAGGCCGATTCCAAAGTGGCATACCTCTAAAGACTTGTGATTTGATTCTCTAAAAATCTGCATTCAAAATTTTCAATTTAACGTTCCCATTTTCATGTTAGTTATATCAAGTTTTCCGATGTCTTGTAATAGAGTGACTCAAAATTGGACTCCAAGAGTCCATAACTTTACCAAACATAGGCCGATTCCAAAGTGGCATACCTTTAAAGACTTGTGATTTGATTCTCTAAAAATCTGCACTCAAAATTTCCAATTTAACGTTGATCAAAATTTTGACCCATTTTCATGTTAGTTATTACTAAGTTTTCGATGACTTGTAAATTGAGAACCATTTATCCGATCCGATAAGAACGTAATTTGTGTTAAATATGTGTACATACATGATATTTACTTTGGCTCTATTCAAAGAAATTTCTTGTAAAATAATTGCTTCAAGAACTAAAATCCGATTAAACAATTTATGTATTCTAGATGCTTGGGTCGCAGATCGAAACCGCTAAAGATTTTCTGGCTACGCCTTTACGTTTAATGTTAACGGAAACGGAAGTGGAAATGTATTTCACCGCCGGACTTCTGCCTTCGGCGCTGAGGCCTCGCCTCCTGGTGGTCAACAAAACGACGCTGATGGAGCACCTGGGCAGTTTGAATACCAGCTACGCCTACTGCACCACCTCGGAGTACTGGAATTTGATTGTGTTGAAGCAATGGCGAATGTACCGCCCATTATTCCGACGGGCTTCAAAGATGTGCACCACGCCGCAAATACTGCGATTTCCCATCCAGAAGAATTCGCCCTTCGACTTCAACTTCTACCGCTTTCGCTCTGATGCGCTGCAATTTGGCTTTTTGACGCATTGGTTGAGGCAAAGCATTCGGGAGGCGACTGAATTGGGCCTAGTTGTTAATCTGACCGACGAATATCAGCCTTTTCAGAGCCTGACTCTAATGGACATCGAGAAGCTAATAAAACTATACATTATTTGCTTGGTAGGCTCCACCGTGTGCCTTTTGGTTGAAATTACTTGGAATTATTACAAAAATATAAGGGCTGAAAGATAAAAATATGTTTGTCTATTAGATTTATGGATTAACCATTTATTTAAAAAAAAAGAAAATAAAAAAAATTAACATTTATCAGTATTTTATCCAAATTAAAAGTTATCAGAAATAAATATTTCAAATAAATCAATTTATACATTTTAGTTATTTTCACTTACAGTATACCTTTCGATTATAACGGTAAGTATAATGTTAAAACTATTTAAGTCGTTATTAAAGGTTTTAGTAAAATCATTTCAAATCCTTATTAAATACGCAAATTGAATCGTTACACAAAGAGTAAAAATGATTTTAAAAATCAACTTACAGACGCTATATTTTTTGGAAGCTACTAATAAATAAGTTGTGGACAATTTTGAAAATGACCAAATCTCAGCCAATCTTTAATAGAATATGAAACTAATGTTTCGAAACAGCCGGTAATCATGCGACCATTGCACTAAATCCTGAAAAACTGAAATCTGCCTTAGGGGCGGAACATCCATATTTGAGCGCAACTCATTTGGCTTAACTTTTGTCTGGAGAACTTCACGAAGCAATCGAAGGAAGGGACTGAGAGGCGATGGGCAATTGGAAACATATCGACGACTGGGTAAATAGAAAATTCAATTTGAAACGATTGCTTACTGGATAACGAAAGCCTGCTTGCCTCCCTGCCAGTCTGTCTGTTGTGCACTTTTGGGCCAGCCTTCAGCAGAACTTTCCACAGGCAATTCGCATGGCATACGCTGGTCGTTTCCATTCCCATCATGTCAGCTCAGCTCAGCCCAGGACCCAGCCCCCTTCCAAGCCTGGCCCAATCCTCCCCACCGCCCATGGCTCCTGCCCACTCAGCAAGTTGGCCACAAACAAACTTCCTGTATCGATGGTAGCGCACACGTACCGTTATCGCCCAGCCCCCGGGCCAATATCTAAGTGAAAACACAGATCAACAGTACGACAATCAGCAGAGAAACAGGCCCAGACCCCACAGACTCACATCCGCACTCAGGAACACATATTCCCATTTCCACTTCCACGTCCACATCCACATCCCCATCCACATCCACTCCCTTTCCAATCCCAAAAATCGCACCTGCAACGTAGGCAACATGAGACAAGGCAAAGGTAAAGGCAAAGGCAAAGACAAGGCCAAAGGCCCCAAGGCATCTGCACCGGAGAAAAATCGTGATCTAAATCTAAAGGTTTAAGTCTGGGTTTAGGTGTATATATTTTGTTAAACAAATAATTAATTCTAAATCTGGGTTTATAAGAAAATCTTACAGAGAAACCAAATACAACGGGCCTAAAAACATGAAGTTGAGTAGATTGAATAAAACAATGCAGCTCCTTCAATTGCTTGACATAGCTTCTTCATAATAAATAAATTATTATTTTGTTTTTAAATATTAAATCTTCTGGGAGTTGGGAAAATATAATAAGACGTTGTTTTTTGATTTTTTAGCCCGTTTTTTAATGGAAAGCCAAAACAGCTTGGTAATAAATGAAAGCTGACATATTGCTATTTAGCTTAACAAATTATTGAGAAAAGTGACATAACAATATTTAAGCAAATTGTTTTTATAAATTTTACTTTTAGCCAATTCTGCTTAATTTTATACATTTCCCTTTATCGACAATTGCTGAAGTGACATTTTTCCATTGTGTTTTTGTTCCAAGTGTGTTCTCCATTCTCCCCCACAAAATGGCAGGCAGGTTACAAATTGTATGCTCCAGCTCCCCGCAGTAGATTCCACCTTCGAATTCCACATTCCCGCTGGCAGGAAGCACTTTGATTGGTTGGTGGAGCCTTACCATTCCCCTATTTTTGCACGTATTACGGCCAGTTGCATTTCTTGGATTGCATTTAAGCAACATTTATGCATTTTTAATGTGACAGCTGAAATGATGAGACGGCTGCCTAGCATTTCCCATTCCCCCCCACTGTTTCTTTGTGCTGACAGCATGTGTGTAGACTTGTGCACCTGCCCCCCGTGACCTCCACCCTTTGACCCCATGGCACATGCATTTTGCAGTGTCAAGAAAGTTTCACTCTCGTTTCACTGAGGCCAAGCCCGACAATTCCAGTAAATCATTAGATAATGTGCCAGGGATTTGCGTGGGCTCAGCACATCATGCATGATATATTGGACGGATCATACATATTTTAGGCTAGGAAAATGGTATTAAGCACAATATGGAAAACAGTGAATATATATATTTGTATATTGCATACACATTTGCAATTAATTGATAGCTATTGCCAGCAAAAATAATATTTACTGTCTACCAAATGTATAACAATATTTCAATAGGATAACATTTAGACCAAATTTCTGTTCCCGTTTAACTCAAACTTAATTGTCGGCAATTGCTATAACGTTGTAGTATGATTGCATGTTGTCTTGCAACTGATCAATGCAGTATTATAATACAAACGAATTTAGGTAGAATTTAAATTTAATTAAATTCTAAGGGAAATTTTGTTAATGTTCTGGCCAGGCTGGCAACATCTGCTTCAGTTGGTTTGTATTACCATAAGCTGGCAGCCACCACCGCTCCATCCAGCACCAATAATGGGCCACTTTGGGCCACATCCAAATGAGGACCTGACCACAATTGACTGCCAACTAGGCGCGTGCATAATCATTGCAATTTTGTATGATTTCCAGCCTTTTCAGTCCCCTTTCGACCGCATTGCCCCCGCATCACAATCGCCCCACTTCAATGGCAAATGGAACGCGGCGACCGCAAAAAGCAACGGACGTACATTGGTCCTGTATCGACACCAGCTTCAGCTTCAGCCCGGGGACCAACATCCTTACATCCTTACTCCGCTGCCCGTAAGTATGCAATGCTACTTGTACCCAGCATTTGGGAAAAGCAGGGGGTATATTATATTAATGCAAATATTAACTCTCTGATCCTACACTAAAATATTTTAAAAATTATATTAAATAGTTATCTTATATCAAACTTATGACTGGCGGACATGTGGCTAAATCAAGAATAAACATAATTTAAAGGTCTTTTCACTCTTCTCTGTCAGTACATAATTCTTTTTCGGAATTTATGATTATTTATGATCCAACATTTTAATATCAAAATATTTTCAGAAACTTATAAAACCATGTTTAATTGCATCATCAAGATTAGACATATTTTATAGAGCGCCTTTATGTGCGTTGCCTTTTAACATTTTATTATTTTGCACAACAATATGTATTTGGTGATGCAGTGTCATATTATAAAGCGTTTCTGATCCTACATTTGAATATTTCATTGTTTTCAAAAAATAATAGTTAATGACTAGTTATACAATAGTGCCGCTGATAGACGAAGGCCTTTATTAATAAATGACATTTAATCCTGTTTTTGTCAGAATTTAATCCATTTGCACAAAACAATGTAGTTCACCTTTTGCTCTTTAAACATTTGGTTTACAAATTTAATATTCATTGCATAAATATAAAGTTTATTTTAATTTATGTTTTATATATTTATAAAATGTTTTCTTCTTGCCATAAGTGTTAGGACTGTGTATAACTAATTAAGTACACCATTCGAAGTACTGGGTATTTTAAAATTGGGTCCTCCAACCATCGCGTCCTTAGTCGTTGTGAAATGGAAACAGGAGCAACGGCAGCAGCGTCAACTGCAAGTGCAACGTGGGTGTTTATTAGCATGATTAACCCCGCCGCATTGCCGCACAAATTGCAAACGCATTGAATTTAGGTCAGCGTGGCGGATAATGAGGGGGCTGACTGCGGATTGGGGGCGTGTTGTTAGTGGTGGGGGGTGGAGTGGTTCTGGTTGGAAAATGTCAGAGCATCTTGTAATTTGATTTTGCCGTCATCCTGGCAATCGGCGCCGCTGCTTGTTGGCTGTTTGTGAGCTGGCTGTTGGTTATTGGCCTGACATTTTGCTGATTGCGATGGCCAACAAAGGATAGCTGGCTGAGCAGCAATTTGAGTGGCTCAAAGAAATGTATACCAAACAAGTCAGAGGCTCGAGCGTAATTAGTTTTGAATGCACTTCAGAGGCAGGGAAAGTCACGCATTCGAGCCATAAACAAAAAGCCGAAAGGCTTGTCGCACTTGGCTTGTTTCGTTCCATTTCCGGTTAACCACATCCTGCGTAATAAGCGGCACTTCCGCTCCGCAATAGACTTAAACTGTTTTTGTTTTTGGCCCTACCATTGTTACTCCTGCCATGTTCTGTTTTTATTGTGAGTCAAATTTTTGTTTTAGGCAGAAGACAGGAGCTGGCGCAGGAGCACCAGGATGCTGTCACTTCCGGTCGCCTTACAAAAGGTACATTGGGAAAAAAGAGGTGAATAGTACTTATAATAATAAATAAGTTACAAATTATTTAAATATTATTATAAAATAAGGGGTTATCGACATTTAAAAGCTGTTGCTTCAATATAATTACTTTTTTAAAGAATACAGTTTATTTTGGGATTAAAATATACCTTTATCTCTGAGATTTTAAAGCCTTTTATTTGGAATTTCTAGCTAAGAAACCGCTGGATTGTATAATACAGTTGATTTATTAACTTGATTACGAATTTGTATCTTATTTTTCTCTCTGCAATCGGTCGGTCTCAGAAGTTTCTGAGCTTTGCATGTGAATGGCACGTTTTTGGGACTTCTTCGCAGCCCCTGCGTGCCATTCAAAATGCAGAAGCCGCAAACTGGAGCTGCATTTTTATTTGCATTTCACTCGATGGCTGCTACAGCAGAGCCATTGTTGGTGTAATTGCCTGTGTAGGACATGGCACTTGGCTAGCCAAAATGGAAGGACCGCGCCTTCAGCTGCAGTGGAATTGCTTGTTTGCCGAGAGCACCAACTGGTGGCCCAGTATTCTGGGATGGCATACGTTGAATGAATTCAAGTCCGTTTGCCTGTTCCAAGTACCGAGGGCACAACAGTCTAATTGTTCACATAATTAACCCACCCATCGGAGCAGTCGATGTTCAACTACTGCCGCTTTCATTAACAATTCGCACATCGCCTACGAATTGCGAGAGCAGCCAAAACACTTAAATAATTCGCTATTTCAGTGTAATTGCGTTGCAAGTTTGTGGCAACAATGTGGCCGTGCTTCAGGACTCCGGCCGGAAGTGCAGGGGCACTTGAGATGCGCCCTGCACTCAGTGCACCACCTGCCAGCCACCACGTTGTGCTATAATAGACCCACTTCCCAAACATATGTTGCACAATCATTTTATTTGCACGAATTAAGCGGCTCTCGACGTGAATGCGGCACAGTGAGAGGAAATGAAAAATTACGACTAAAACTTGAGATCTTAAAATGGCAGTTATTGTAATTATATAAAACATTGATTATGTATTAAACATTATATTTAACATTTTAATAAAAATATATAAGTAGTGCTTTATTTTTGGTTTAACTGGCGGTTTGAAAATCGAATAAAGGTATAAATACATACCTATACCCTCAACCAAAAAATGAACTTAATAATTGTCAAAGTTACCTAATATTTAGGACTAATGACCTGAAAGATTAGCCTAACTAATTTATTTTCAAAAATAGCCAGGACCACCTAAAAATCGATTTCTAATCGTAAACCGTTTTCTGAAAAGCGAATAACTTAGAGAACGTAATACAGTATTGACCTAATAGGTTTCTAACTTCCCTTTAATAGTGGGTACATCTAAAATACTTTTATACTTATATACCCACTGTCTCGTCTCCTTCCTGGTGGATGTCTGCCTGAAATTCTCCTGTGGTTGCAGTGCGGTTGTGCATTTGTGCGTGCTGCCGCTGCTACATTAGCATTCATGTGCGTGTGTGCCGGCATCCGGCAGGTTGGGAAGTGGGAAAGTGGGAAATCAGGAGAGGACCGGGAAAGGTCCTGGCCAAAAAACGCTATGCCAAGCCGTGGTGGCTGCAGCTGACGCTGATGACAACGTCGGGGTTAACTGGCATTAATGGCATGCAGTCATTCTGATTCTCCCAGGAAGCCGCCGGCGAAACCGCTCGGAAAATTGTTGAATAGCAATCGTCTGACTTCCAGACCTTGCGTGTGCATATCCCGTGGATATGAGTCTTTTTGAACTTGTCCCGTCTGCAATTTATCTCAGTCAGGAACTTCGAAAATATTTTGAAACTATGGCGAGCACTAAAACGTCAAACAAAGCACTTGATTTCGTATTCCGATCAGTTGTTGACGACATTTCAGTCTACCAAATTGAGTTTGCTGTAAGGTTTTGCCCGTTTGTGACCAAATTTTAATCTTTATCTATTGGTAGCTTAATCTATTAGACTTAGTTATTTTAAACGTTTTCCTCGATGGAGGGTGAGTCAATATTGTATTTCTCAACTTTAACTATTTCACATTAAGTGCCTGTGGCAATATCAATTTCAATTCAAACATAGTGGCTATCATTTAAGTGCTTTCAAATCCAAGACTCAATCTTTGGTGATCTACCTTTCAATCAGGAATTCGAAAGGGTTCGTTTCCTTAATGTTTTCCGAAAGCCACAACGCACCACAAAACAATTTTCACCCGCCTTTGTTATCGACACCAATGACAAACCACTTTATGCCCCATTTCCTTTTCCCCTCGAAGCTATTAAAACAGAACAAAATTGGCCCAACTGGGTCAAAGTTCAGGGAGTCAGTCAGTGGGCCGAAAACAACAGAAAATTGGAATAGAAAAATAGAAACATTGAAAAAATATGAAGCCGAGGAAAGTAGTCTAGACGTGTGCCAAATGAAATCAAACATCGTATACTGATTTCCGCGGCGAACCGTCGACGGTTTAGACATATTGATTTTATATCATCATCGATGGGGGGATATACAATATTCCATTAAAGCACTCCGTGCGTGCTGCGATGCGTGTGCTGCGGTGGCTGTCACGGTTCGACAGTCCGCCAATTTCGGCACAACTGCCAGTCTTCCTCCGACTTTCATCCAAGATGCGTGCCCAAAGGCTAAATGCCCAGGAACGCGAAAAACTGCGTCGCCAGCGCTCCGAAACGCGACTCTTAGTGGAACGATGCAATGATCTAGGTGGACATATCCCAGATTTAAGTAATCACTAATCCCACTGTACGTCCTTCTTGCAGGTTTCGAGTATGTGGTCAATCCGCCTGTGTGGCCGACGGTCGGTTTCCTAAGGAAAATCCACAGGGACTCGAGCGGAGAGTTCTGTCGAGCCAGCTACACCACGAAGATTCCTCCAGTTGCTCCCAATGCCTATGACGTTGATAGACCAATGGGATTTAAGGTAAGCCCCAAAGTATATTTTTATTTTAATACAAAAGGTGGGATTATCGATTTGATTCTGGTTAAATTAGTATTATTCAAAAGACGGGTATATATATTTACAGGCCATTTCCGGACAGATGACTAAAGACAGACGGACAAGTGTTTTTAGACTTGGCTGTTGATACTGATAAAACATATTCTTTCTATAGTCTGAAACGTCTCCTTGACTAATGTCTTATTTCACATTTCGTTGTTTCCGAACAATTTATATTAGATCGCCATGCATCTTAGCCGTTCCCAGTTTGTTTTTAATAACACTTATCACAATCGGTATCCATGGAAATAAATAAAATACCTTGCAATAGAATCATATCTTGTCTCTTGCTTAGATATTTGCACAATTCCTTGGGATGTTTTTATATTTGTTCTGCTAAACAATTAAATTATTACATCACTTACAGTATCCATCGAAAGCTGGATTTTCAGCCTTGGCCAACAAGATGCCACGCCTACCGCCTTACCGAGAACTGGGGTATCCGCCCATTGGATCCTACGCCACAGACTTTCCAGGAACTCAGTACTTCTTCACGTTCAACAAGCAGATTGTCCGTGAGCAAAAATGGGTGACACCTGGGTAATAATAAAATCTAAAGTCAGGAATGATATTAAATTGATTTAAGACATAACACTTATGATAAATCGCCAAAAGCCTATGTCAAAATTTTAGAGATTTTATTCTAACGTGGATAGTGATATTTTGAAATTGATTTCTAGGCCCTCCACCTACACGCACCATCTCAAATATCCGGAATGGGATGTGGAGACGGCTTTTGGCTGCAAGCGGATCATCTGGCCAGCGGTGGCGGTGTTCTGCAGTCCCCAAAACAAAGTCAAGTGTTCGGTGTGCGGCGAGAAGCCGGTGGGCGACTACTTCCACAACTTCAGCAGCGATGCGGACATGTGCCGGGTGTGCATGCACGTTGAGACGGCTGCGATCAAGAAGTGCAACCTGCAGGTCACGGAGCGGTACAGCAGGCAGCAAAAGATCAAGCAGTTCGTGCCCGCCCGCTACTGTGGATTTTTCCACAACCACGACGGCACTACGGCCACCATTGAGCGGGAATCGCGCAAGGTGCTGCGCCAAAAGATTCGCGTGGAAAATTACCTCTATCGCCTGAACGCGAAGATAGAGTAGTCCCTAAAAAAATTCTGTGAATATATTATTTTTTGATGGCCACGGCAATCGATTTTAATCGTATATCCTATCCGGATTAACGGAACTTCCCGTATAATATCTTCATAATGTTACAGTAATCAGTCTTTTATTTTAAAAATAAAGTTTCCTTTAGTCCTTAAAAATAAATTTTATATTTTCTTATATTCACAGAACCCTTCGCAAATGCGCTTATTAAAATACACGAAGGAAATTCCTTACTGTGAACATAATTTAAATAAAATTTTAAAAGGTCATTAGGTTTGCGAGTAATGTGATAATTGTTGCCTCAGTCAAAAATATTAATTTGCTATTAGCAAAAATGTATTCTGTCTTTTTAAGATTGATTGGCTTTCAAATGAAATAAATATCTAAAATGGCAGTGTTTGAAGAAATGGTCATTATTCCCTTAGAATGTTCAATCTTGGTTAAGGGCCTTAATTTTAAGCACATAATTCTTTGTTTTCCCCTAGAGCGGAAGTTAGCATTGGCTGTATTGTATGTTTTCATGCTGGAACATTTTAATCGCATTTCCGCCACTCGGTTTCCTCTTCCTTCTGCGCATCCCCACTTCCGGTCGGGAAGGAGGATTTGAAAACCCACACGCAGTTAGCCAAAGTCAGAAACAGAATCAGTGGCAGAGACAGCCCGTCCTTGGCCACAATGCAACAATGGCAATGGCTGCTGGCCATTGGCAGCCATTACGAACATTATGGCATAGGGCCGCCATGGCCCTGTCAATGCAAAATGGGATTTCACAGTTTGCTTGTTTTGTTTTGCATTTGGCCAGCAGCAAACTGGCCACGCCTCGAGCGAGGAGTTGGTTTTGGCCAGGCCAACTTTTGGCCATTCCACACACGCGTGAAATTCCAAATGCGAGTCAGGTTCCCTTTCACCTGGAATGGGATGGTAGAGAAAGTTTCACAAGGGTTCTTTCCCCGAACCGCTCCTGGCTTTTGATTTAAGGCACATCCACAAATCTATTTTAAGTGCATCAGGAAACTATTGATGTTTCTTTAAACAAGTATCAATTACTTGAAAGCACAGATGCAAAACTACGATAAAGTTTACTCTTCTAACTGAAAAAAAAACATAGAGGTATTAAAATGAGTTTAATGACAACTTTACAATCATTACAAATTACAAAGCAAAGCTTAATTTCATCACACCTCTCTTGTGGATAAGTTGCTCATTAAATAAAAAGTTTCTAAACTAAGAAGTTTTTGTAAGTTAAACGGATGCTTGTAAAATAGAAATTACATTTTTAAATAACAATAATACTATTATAATTTATGAAATTTCAAATTAAAAATGTTGAAATGTAGCAGTAAAAAGTTCCTCCAATCGGAAAATAAAATAAAAATGCTAACTTTAAACTCAGCTCATCATGTACAAGTTGAGAAATATTCAATTGCATTGAAACGTTTTTTAGTTGCACCACCACCACCCCAAAACATTCTTGAAGAAAATATCAATGACTTCATTTTGAGGTAACCATTATTTATTGATAAAAGTTCAGACAAATGATGAATTGATTCACAAGCTAAGATACCACCTTCTCATCCGTCTTTCCCACAAGTTCGAACCACAAGGAATTTGGCACATTCAGGAGTAAGCTTTAAGAGAATATTTTCAATTTCGTGTCCTGAAAAACCACTGAACGTAGATCGATTGCCAAATAAAAAAGAACAGCCACTGTGATATAAATGGTGAGAATTTCAAACTACATCATCAGCAACGGTTCCCTTCTTTTTGAACAATTTTCAATTTTCAAATTGAGGTGACACAAATGCGTTTCCTGGATGACAAATCGCTGGACTTGGCCGTGCAACCAAAAAGAACAGCCACTGTGATATAAAAGTTTTCGATAATATATCAGCAGCAGAAGTTCCCTGTGGTTAAAAACAGACTTGGTATTTGTCAGGAAAAATAAAACTAGAGCTTTGATGTTTGGCACTTTAGGTACAAAAAGAACAGCCACTGTGATATAGGTATAGTTAGTAACTTACAGCACAGCAACTATTCCCTCTACTTTAAAGGCTGTGATTTGGCACAGAACTGATAATTTCGAATCTTATTTCCCTCGATGAGTATTGGGCTCAGACATGCGCTATAAAGGAAAATCACTGTGATATGTAACGGATCAACGCATATCACAACGATCGTTCCTTTTAGCGAATGGCCCGGAAAATGTAGGGATCACTCAACTTGTTTTATTGAATTGTAATGTTGCAAATGCCACAACGAACTTCAATGGTTGTCTAGCTTTATGATCAGAGAAATCACCTAAGGCTGGACGACCAAAGAAACTAATTGCAACTGTCTTGGATGTCTTCTTTTCACTAATAATTTCACTAGGCAAGTTGAAAACTTTAAAATTATAGCACGAGTGTTCGGTCTAGTCACTTAGCTTGGTCGGAACCGTATTAAAAAGAGACCATACCGACATTCGCCATTCAATTTTAAAACTGGAGTGCCAATTATCACTTACTTTTGTATTGTATTTATATGGTTGAAGTAGCGATGATGTGACCAGGATCTTGAGACACACTTTGCCCAGTGATGTGAGATGTAAACATAACTGCACAAGATGCGTCCCAATATCGAGGCCTTTGTTTGATCACAGTTAGCTGGTCGTCTTTTCAAGATTATAGGACAAACTTTACCCAGTGCTGCTAGGAAATTTGCAAAACCGAACAAGGTTTGTCGTATAATTGCTTTTCCGAGCTTATTTACTTTTTGGTTCACTGCTGGATCCTCATACTCTGAGGATGCGTTGGTAACTGATGCTCTTTCTGCCGGTGACTGGATCTTTTATACCCATATCCTAGGCCCGAAATCGCCCGCTTACCTGTGGGTGGCGGGCGTTTTTACCTGCAAGGGTCGGGGTAGTTCCGCGAATTCGCGTCCCGGATCGCGGCGACCTTCGTGAAAATTTTGCAACTTAATCCGTGGCCATAAACGGATTAATGCTTCTCGGTTTCGGGGAAAAACGCGCAGCTGTGCCGCGCATAATTTTCGCAGAAATACAATAAGGCTATGCCCAAAAAAGGACACGGGATCGTAGATCACCGTCGGGTTAGTTTGGTAGTTAGCTCGGAATTTGTTCCCCGTGTCGTCCCACGAAACGTAGGTATCACGCAGGATCAGTCAAGAAGTTCTCACTACCTTAAGATGCTTTTCTGACGACTGTACCAAATGCAAAGGGCTAGTATAGTTAAGGACAGGGTCGACCTTGGAGTTGGTCGCTCTTGAAACAATCACCTGTTGGAAATGTTACTATACAAACTATATGATTCTATGGTCCAGGAATGCATATGTTCAATATTAACTTAATATTAAAAACTTCATTGCCTGGTGGAATAGGATATTTGGAGACTAGAAAAAACGTTAATTTTTCAACGGAGTTTGTATTAGTATTACAATCTATTAAGGACATCTAGGAATGCCTCTACAAGACTTCTAAGGCTTGTTTTGTGAAATAACAATATTAGGATGGCCAAACATTTTTCAGTATTCATTAAACTTTGCTAAAACTAGATAATAAACAAAAATAACTTACCACCGCTAAAAACATTTTAATATATATTTAAAAATTGTACTTATCAACGAAAAATGCTTTCAGTTTTGAGGAAATTTAGAGGGAAATAAATTCATTTTTAATTTGAGTTTAAATGAATTCTCATTTTGTTTTAGAAATCTTGTGCAAAGAAAAAAAACAGTTCATAATGTCTATTTTATTTTTCCTTCGAAATAGCATTCATACTTTTTAAAGGCTTCCTCGCACTTATCGGCATCCTTGATCGAAAGGCAGGGATCACTTAAATTTTTCATTTTTAATAAAAGAAGAAGATTTTCAAATTCTGTATTTTGCCCAAAATAACAGTGTAAGAAGCACTTGATTTTGTAATCTGCAACTAATGCCTGGTCTGAAAAAAAAAATGTATGGATCCACTTCTCTGAAACGTTTGCCCCATTTGCACACTCAGTCACAAGTTTGGAATCATCATTTGATATTGCCTTCTGTAAATTTAAAGAAATAATAAAAAGCCAACGCCTGAGAGCGATTACTTACTTGGAGAATTGACAGAGCTAATACGAAAACTAGAAAGACTGAAGCAAAGGACGTCTCCATTTCGTAGATCGTGACTCTATACAGATTTCAGATACTTAAGATTTGCTTTAAATACATTCTTCCAAGCGACTAATAGGTGTGAAATTAAAGATTTCTTGCTTTTTTCAGTACTGCTTCGAGCTTATTAAGGGTTTGGCTGGTCTTATAATACTCATATAAACTTATTGCAGGCTCGGATCCAAGACGATATGCAAAATATAGTTCTCCATGTAATGTATATATGTATACTCTTGATCAGCATCACCAGCAGAGTCAATCTAGCCCGTCTGTATGGTCTATCTAGTTCGTTAGATTTAAAGCTATCTATGGATGAAACTTTCCTAAAAATTATATTTCTTTCTATTGCAGGTAGTCTATAAGTCGGAACAGCTATGATCGGATAAAGCTTGAGTTAAAACAGTACAAAACAATTACTACTTCGCTTTTTCTTAACATATACGTTTATAATTAATTGTATTTTTAAACCATTTCAAAATTACGAACAAAATTTTTTTTTTAAATCGAACCACTTTATCTTATATCTGGCATTTATATACATATACGGATAAAAGTAGCTTTCTTCTTTGTTTTATTTAAATTTTTTGTTATTGGCTTTTGAAGGTTTGAAGTTCGTATTTGTATTCTTAGTTTCATTGTTATTCAAGTCACTTTAACTCATAATTTAGGACATATTTTTTACATTAGTACAGTTAAATCACACTTTGAATAAGTAAGGGAAAAATCACAACAGGAATTTTATCCCCAAAAGAAAATATTAATCATCAGACTAAATACAATGCAAAACTATGGAGTCCTTGAAGGTGTCCTGCTAGCAGTAACATCATTAATTGTAAGTGGTTGAATGATAAAAATCATTTACTAAAAAATGCTGGTCTTATGTGGTATTTTGAAATAGATTCTATGGGTGCAAGGATTCGTTGCCCTGCCACTGGCTACTCCTGTTCCAGAGTCGCTTCCGTTAGCCAAGGCTGAGGATAATCCGGTGATCAGAGCTCCGAGGCAGGCAAACTGGAATCATTCGATGGAATGGGACCCCAATACACAAATGCAACAAAAAGCTGACGGGTTTAGAGTTTTCGGAAAGAAGCTACAAGACGACTATCATCGAAGAACTGGTTACAATGAAACCAGAGAGCCACCCACTGCTGTGACTAAAGGAACCACTACTGGCCGTATGAGAATTACTAAAGGTGGCATAAAACTCTTTGCCGCTCCAAAAGATAAGCCCAAGGAGCGATCCGGAGGTAAAAAGCTTAAACCAAAATTTAGGGACGGAGAGGGAGAAGAGGGGGAAGCCGAAGCGGGAGCGGAAGGCGAAGGAGGAGCGGCAGAAGGAGGGACCACAGGAGGCGATGGGGAACAAGAAAAAGAGCTTACCATAAGTATTCCCAAATTCTCTACCAATCAGTATGGCGAAAATGTTTACAATCCTTGGGGCATGACCTTTGGCAACCAATTCTTGGACACCCGCTTTGGACCGGGAAATCCTCAGATGCAACGTTTATCAATCAATCCAAATCCGCCGCAGAACTACTACCCAAGCATGGAGAACTTGACCTCGGTCTGTGCGAACCAATCCACCATCTATAACGAGCTTAAGATCGAGAAGTGGCTAATGCGCCACGTCTACAGCAGAAAGAAGATGGACCGCCCCTTCTTTTTGGCCATGCGACGCGAAATATATGAAAAGGGCGATTCGGAGCAGTGTCATACGGCGGCCTTCTCCGACTGGCAGCAGTACCAGGAGTGCGCAGTGCGAAGAAACCAGCGAATGGAGTACTATGTCCCCAAGTATCCTCGCCATCAACTGGCCGTCAACTAGGATCAGCAACGACAACATCCTTTGGGCGTTCAAATCCATAAAACGTTCAAATTCCAGTTACATATTCATTTTACCAAGCATTTGATTCCGGAAATGAACGTATGACTAGATTATCTATATAATCTTTCATTAAAATGTACATTCAACTGATTACCTTTAAATGGAAATTATGCCGAACAAATTCTAGTTAGATATATTTATGAATATAAATAAATATCACAGAGCAAATTGTAAGAAATAAAAAATTTCTGGTTGCTAACAGCACATTACATGTTTTTTATAAGCAGTATTGTTCAATCAATTTAAAAAGCATTTTAAAGTATTTTAAATTACAGATTATTTTAAAATAATTTTTGCTTTGAATTTTACGTTAAGAAATAAGTTCAATGCTGTAACTATTACTTTCTTGCGGAATAATTACCGCTACTCTATATTTATATAAATATCCGGATTAAATAGAGCTCGATTTCATATTTTTGTATCTCTATCTAACAAATGTAAAAAAGAAAAGATCTAAACCATTAATTTAAGGTATGTAGTTCCTGTTTCCGTTCTCCAAGAAAATTTTAAATAAAACAATGTCACTTTGGTGTTTTTAGCTTTCGCTTTCTTTTTTTCTCTTTTATTTGGTAAAATTAAATCAATATCTTCATTTCATTTATATGGTTTTTGTTATTACCTTTTTTCAGATATCATTTCTTAGAAAAACGAACATAATTGTTTCAAATTTTCAGCGTTGTACAACTAGAAGAAGAAGAAAACAAATATTGAAAACAAGAAGATGGAAAATTATAAAGAAATCTTCTTAGTTTGTAAGTAGTTTCCGCAGCAGATCTTCTCCAGGATCTTGTCTGTCCGCCGCTCTCACCCATCTTCCTCCTCATCCTTCACTTTCCACTCTCCACACATCTCTCTTCTACGCACTCCTCAAACCAGCTGTGGGGAAGTAAAAAAGATGTACAACAATATTATTAAGACAAATGTTAGAGAAGTGCTTTCTCTGCCGCTAAAAGGTCGCTTAAGTTATGGTGTTTTTCTTGTCTTAGCGCCGTTTGTTAATGTCCGAATGCCAATTTTAATTTTTAGGCGATTAGGCGATGTTTGTTTGTTGAAAGAATAATGTTTAACATAACTTTATAGAAGGTGTATGATAGAAACCTGCAAGAAATACAAATATAAATTTAAATGTTCTAGTGACCATAATTTTAGCGTTCAACTTACCGTTTTTTATAAAATATTGTGGGCTTCATGTTTGCTTGGGCATCAATGCCGAAAAAATCAATGGGTAGAGAATAAACTATGATAACTAATCCTTAAATGGTATGTTTAATAGCTTTTTACACTGCAAAGACATTATAATTGGTTAAATGGGTTTGTTAGTAAGATACACAGTTTATCGTAGGTAGAAAATATTTTGTTTAACCTAAAAATAAAAATAAATAGCAATTTAGCAGTTTAAGAAAATAGACAATTTCACGATTTTAGAAAATGTTTACTGATTTTTTTTGTAATTAATTTTCGATAGGCGAATGAGTATTTCCAGCAAGCCAAAGAAAATAATTTAATTACATCACTATTAGAACAATACCTAGGCTAAATAGCAATATCCAACTACCAAAATCTGAAAATCTAAAAAATCCAGTTACTTGCTTTAGTCAAAAGAATTACAATATTCATTCTATAACTCAAAGACTTCCCAGACTAAAATTTGAGTAATAGAAGATCGACGATATATTTAAAATTTTTACCATTTCCGAATAAAATTTCCCACGACATGTAAAGAATTTTCTAAAAATAACTTGTAAGCAAATTCATAGTTCTTAATTTCTTTGGACCAAAGTTGAAATAAGATCAAAAGAGTAGGTTTTCAGTTGTATTTATTTCAAAAATTGTTTTCTCGTTCTAACCAAGTCTTTTTTTCTTTTTTCTTTCAGGCATTTTGCCCAAACACTGTAAATAATTTAGAAAATAAAAATACCAAAAATTTTGTTTTTTGTGTTTTGTTTTTCTTTTTTAAAAAGTTTATTTTCATCATCATTTATTGAGCTTAGTCTCGGGCTTTTTAAATTGGATTTGTAAAATTTGTAAAATTAAATGTATGTTTTTGTTAGATTGTTTCCACATTGGCGGAAATACTGGTTATAGAATACGTAATAGTAAGTAGATAGGCAACTTAAGAGTAAAGAAACAGTCTCGTGTCAAAGGAAGTTGGAGAAAATGGATGAGAGTACGAGAACGAGGATAAACATTTAGGCAACTTACAAGAAATTGTCGGTGCCGGTGGTGCGGCATTTGCAGCTACAGGAACCGATGTGGCTGGTGTCGTCGATGTTGCTGCTGCTCTGACCGCTTTTTGTTGCTGCTGTAGTTGGTTGTTAGATGTCAAATGTTGGTTGTTGTCGTCTTCATCATCATCAATGTAGTACGTTTTGTTATAATGGCCGATGCCGCCGCCTCCGCCGTTGTTGTTATTGCTGTGGTGGTAGTTGCTATGAGCTATGTTGCTGCTGCTGATCGTGGTTGTTGATGTCGCCGTCTGCTGCTTGCGCTTGTGTCCGGTTATGCTTAGAGCCGCCGTTAGACTGGACGCGGCATGCAGAATCGAACGCTGGTTGAAAATGCTGTTGGAGGCGGCCGCCGCAGCCGCATTGTTGTTCTTTCGGAACTTCTGATGATGATGATGATGAGCTGGTGGCTGCGGCGGCGGGGGCGGCGGCTGCTGGTGCGGCGGATGCGGATGTAGCGTTGGCGGTTGTCACGAACATGCCACCTCCGTTGTGGTTGTGTTGCTGTTGGCGTTGCCATTGTTGCTGCCGTTGTTGTGCGGCTGTGACGGTTCCTGCTCCACTACGTCCATCTCAGAGCCGTTTTTACCCGAGCTCTTGAAGTTGGGCGCACTCATTTGCGCCGCTGTGGGCGTGGTGGGCGTTCCAGCCCCCATATCGCTGGAGGCATTCGAATTTTCCTCAGTTAGCTAAACAAGAAAAGGGTCATGTAATTAGGGAATTTTAAATGTAATAATTTGTAGCCACTTACCGATTCGCTAAGTCTGTGTATTTTTGCCCCGCTATCCCGACCGCGATTTCCACTCGATGGCTGCTGGCCTGGCGGCAGTGGGTCCTGCGATTGGGCCAGTTCCGTCGAAAGTCGTTTGCGGTTGGCCAGCAGTGTGTTATTAAAATTGTTGTGGCTCTCCATGGACTTGCGCTCTCTCTTGAGGAAGTCGGAATCTAAGTATAGCGACAATTGCTTGCGCTTCACATGACGGGCATCAATGGTCATGCCCTCCTTAAGCATTTTGATGTTGACCTGAAATGGTGATTAAGAAATTAACAACTTTTTACATTTAAAGGTTTCATTGTTATACTTACGCCATGCATCATTACGTGCTCCGTAAAATTCTGTATGCTCTCAGTGAGATCGACGTTGAGGTTCTCCGAACGCTCAAACTCTAAGCCAATGAACCACATTGAGCAGAAGGGCGCCGAAGTCACAGCAGACTGGCTACCCTGCGATTGCTTCAGATCGTCCTCGTTTCCACTGTTGTTTTGCGAGTTGTTGGCACTTTGGCCCTTCTTAAATTCAAAACACTTGGGATTGACGTGGGCCAAAGCAATGTGGGGATTCCGCTCCAGGTTGCCAATAAGCAGACGCACCTTTGACTCCACCAGGCCGCACCATTCCAAATGGTCGTCGGCCGTCTGCGAGTTGACCAAGAGCACAATAAAGTGGCGGTACCTGTAGAAGAAGCTGGGCGCCTCAAACAAACGCTCCCACGGAATGCGGCCTAGCATGATCTCATCCGTAATGTTCATGCCGCGATTGAACTCGGTCAATATGACCTTCTTGGTGGATTCTGACACATTGAATGTGGAATTCTGTTGTGGGTACGCAGGCGTAATGATGGGCATCAGATGATAGCGATCCGAGGCATTGACTCGAGGATCCCAGACCTAGAAAAAGGACAAAATATAAGTAAATCGGGAAAACCTGTGTAATTTTATTTGACTTACTTGAAATCTTAGATTAACGTTGTCAGGGTGCTTGAGCAGCACTGGGTTGGGCCACTTCCAGCGCGAGAATACCAAAAAGAACTTGTGCACCAGTGTGGCAGCTGCAGCATTTGGATATAGCTGGCATGTCCTAGCCACCAGCATGGCCCAGGTCACACCGCCGAAATAACCCAAGGAATTTGAGTAGATGCCGTGCTCTAAGGGGAATATCAGAATCACGAATTAGTCACTTTTTTTTTCTATAGATCCTGTAAAACTTACTTTTTGCCCACAGTTTTATGGTGCGTAGGGCTAGGCGGAAATTTTCAATATTGGGCACCAGAGCCAGGATCTCGTCTGTCACACGGCAGCCGTTGAGACTGCGCACCGAACGGTGATCCAGATTTCTCAGCAAGTTATCATCCCGCAAATCAAAGTCATCGGGTATCTCTTTAAGGGACAGACGAGCAAACAGCAGATCTATCTCTATGCCATCAAAGTTCATTTTAATGACAGGCACAAAGGCCTCTTCCACTGAGCGGCACTCGGTGACCTCTGGCTGCTTCTTAAGCACCTCAAAGAAGCTCTGAAAATAGTCGGTGCGCTCAATGTTGCGCGGAGCCACACAGAGGGCGTCAATATCGGCGCCCTTGTGATGCACACCAAGACGATACGAGCCGAATGTGTAAATCTTGCCGCCGAGCTTCTCAGCAGCTGACTCCGGCATGTTCTTGCTGACGGAGATTTCCTTGACCCACTGCTTGACCAGAGTGTTGAGCTTGGCCAGGATCTCCATGCGGTGGTTCAGCTCGTCCTGGCTCTCGAAGACGTTGTACGGTTCCAGAGAGCCGCGCAGCTCCTCAGTGCGCTGCAGATCCTCCGGCCTGGGCTCGGCTAGACTGATGGCCGAAGTCATACCCAGCTGTTTGGCGGGCGGTCCGCCCGAGGTAGAGTTGCCATTGTGCTGATGCTGATGGTGGTGCTGCTGGTGCTGGCGATGTGTTGGTTCGGAATTCCACATGCTGTCTGTCTTCGTTTGAGCTTAAAGTTAGATCCTGAGGACGGAAAATTAAAGGTTTAGCTGATCTGATCAAATACATTGTGGTTAATTTACTCACCTATCTAGGCTTAAAACGTATGTAGTAATATACTTAAGTTTGCTCTCCAAGAAGACAAAATGGAATCATATATATGCGACACCTTCTCTTGTGTTTCAGTTTACGATGTAGGGCTTAATAAAATGCTGGAAAAATACAAAATATATATAATTTTTATTGTGTTAGGATAAATTTTAAACTGATATACAAATTAGAATTTAACTATCTTTAAAATTAACATACAAACAGTTACAAATTATACGAAAAGTTCGTTATCTTTATGACATTTTAGTGCGTTTGCTGACACTATGAACAAAAACGAAAATTATCAACAATGTACAAAAACCATAATAAAAAAAGAAAATATACATCTCTCATGACTAAGCGATCACTTAATATTTGAACTAAAGAATTTTATGGTGTGTCATTCCAATTGTAGGACACATATGCATAACCGCTAACGATAAGTCACATGTTCCTTAAATTAAACAATTACCTTTTTTTTTTACTGTGTAGCTAAACAGTTAATGGACAATTACAACGCGCTGACTAAATGCAATTTGTAAGTGCGATAAGATATTTCAGCCACTGTCGTTATATACGAAAAACATAACAATGAATCTCTCGTCGCATATGGTCACACTTGCACCTTTCGCCTTTGGGCATAAACAAATGCGTAAATCAATTATTACAAAAAAAATTCGCGGTTAAACAGCGGGAGAAGTATTTTCGCTTAGCGTGTGCACAATAGCAGAATAATTGTGACAATGACAAACATAAACAAAAGAAAGCGTATTTAAACGGAATATTTGTCTACCCCCGCCCCCGCAGGTAAACGGTACACTCGTACACCCACACAGACGTGAACGACGCACGCACCGCATACATACACGCACGGGGAAAAGTTTTTGTTTTTGCTTACCTGCGCTGCTTCTTCTGATTCTTGGACTGCTCTTGTTGTTGTTGGTGCTTCAAACAAACGTTGAGGGTGTGTGTCGAGTGTGGCGTGTGTGTGTGTCGTGTCCGTCCGCTGCATTCGTGAGTGCATATGTATGTATGTTTATAAGAATTTTTGGCAGGAGAGTGTATCCCATTCATGTGTTGTTGTTGCTCCGGCTTCTTTATTTCGCTCGTCTCCTTTTGCAACACTCTTCACATTTCTTTTTTCCCGCAACCGTTCACCCCCTCCCTCTCTTTTCAATCACCTTTTGAGCAAAGCAAAACTCGCGTTTTTTATGCTACGTGACGAGCTCTGCTAAAACTGACGCACACGCACACACCGATATGCATATGCCAGTTGCCAAAACGCAAACACAAACACTTTTCGCCCACTTTTGGGGCGTTGGAGGCGACGGGGGCACTGATAACGCTGCGGGATCGACGCGCGGCTCGTTTAGTGGGCGGCAAACATGTTTCACTATCTTTTTAGCAACTGATTTGCGCGTTCTAGCAATAATTAAAATGTGTAGCAATCGATTTAATGCTTACGGTAATCGGTATCGGTGCTCTTGGCGCATAGGGGTGGACGAGTCGCGGCAGCTAGGGATGACAGCGCGTCGCGATATTTTACTTGCGAGTGCCTATTGTGAATGGTCAACAATCCTATAACCAATAGCGATATAAAAAGCTCCTAGCTATTATATTTTTCTTAATAAGTAAGATTTGGTATCGGTTAAGAAAACATACAAAATTATTTTCTGTAAGTCACGCCAAACATACACGAATGCAACTTATATTCTAACTGCCAGTTGATATAAGTAATCTGATAGTCTATAACGGTTTCCTGTCAATAATCTTAAACCGTGTAGCTAACGGTTGTTAAATTCAAATGCATGTAAGGATTTTTAAACAGATTTTTATTTATTAAAATCAGCGACTAATAAACATGGTTTTTTCTTTGGAATTATGAATCTTTTGGAAGCTCGCATTTTTAACTGTGTAGCTGTTCGTGATACGATTGTTTTATTTCATTACTTGGCTTTGTTTTCTTTTCTGATTAGGGATATGTTAATACATTCTTGATAATTAGCATCAGAAAGAGGAAGGTTACAAGATCGCGTTTATGATCTATGCGCGGATCAGGGTTTTTAAAGGGAATACATATTAACCTTTTTCAGTATAGACATACTACCATTTTATTGTTAAGTTTTAATCTGACCATCTGCTTTTTGAAGGCTTTGACAGATGTCATAGTTTTGCACCTTCGGTTTAGGTAAAACCGCCTTAAGCCTCCTTATACCTGATCTTAAAAATCACCGTTCAAACGGGATTCAAGTAGGTAGGTTTTGTTTCAGGTAAATAGGAAATTAGTTTAAATCATAAAAGCATAACATGGAAATAAATATGTATTTTTCCAAAGTCAAGTTTTCCCTAGATCGAAAAAGTGAATTAACAAGACTTGAAAAATTAAATTAAATTCATTCACTTTAAAATATTACAATATAAATAATATTGTCGTTACCCCATATATATTATAGTAGCTATTATTGTTGGCTTATAATGACAAAATTTAAATACCAATAGATGTTATCGATATCGATACTGCTTATATGCTCGCCGCCAGTACCTCCCACGAATGCCGCTCGTCTGGCAACTCCGCAAACAGCTGTTTGCTATCGAAATCGCAAAAATAAAAATCGGTTTTGGGAGCTTTACATTGATTCTGTTTATTTACGAGAAAAATGCAGAATAGCCAGCGAAAAACGCCACAAAATGTAACAAAACCGGCGAGCACCTAGCTGTAGATCCAAAATGATACCCTGGATGCGCGAGAAGTTCAACGAGAAACGGGCGAAGTGGCTGGCGCGCAGCAAGCGAAGCGGTGGCTCACCAGCGGACGAGAGTCCCCGGAGCAGTAGCCACAGTCACAGCCAGCGGACAGATGCCAGCGATGCGGAGAGCATCAGCGGATCCTCGCTGAATGTCCATACGGCGGAGTCGGAGACGCAAACGGATGGCGGGATGGCCGGCTCCAATTCCCGGGCTCTCGTGGGTGGCGGAAGTTGCGTCCTAAGGACTCCATCGCCCGCTCGTCGACGTCGAATGTACTTGGAGCTGCAGCTGCAGCGGCGGGAGGAGCGGGCTGAGCAGGAGGCGGAGCTGCAGGACTCTCCCACGCCCACTCGACAGCAGCAGGCCCATGCGTAAGTTGACAGAACAACGAATATGCTCCAAGATTTCCAAGTGCTAACCCTAAATATATACATATTTGTCTATTCGAAATTCTCTGTTGGCTACTCTCTCACAATCGACCCAAAACAAACTATGCAAAAACTGCGCAGTATGTTCCTCAGGTTTGTACTGACCAAAAGCTTCCGTGTAATACCTCCATTAATCTCTTTCAATAACAACCAATTAGAAAATCAGGGCATTCTAACCGCCCGAGCAACTCCGCTTCGTCTGGTGAGGCAGAGGATGCCAGAAGGCCGGGCGAGTCCATCATGGTGCGGGTGATCTGCCCCAGTTCGCGCGTTCTGGTTTTCAAGACGGACGTCAACAAGCGCCTCAACGAGCTTAAGAGCGAGGTGATTCTGGAGCTAAGCGATGATCCCGACTCCATCCAGCTGTTTGCTCCTGACGTACGGCATTTGAACCCGCGATACCGTCTCTATCGGGCGGAATACTTTGGCAGCGAGCTGAACGAGACGGACACGCTGGCTCAGCTGAAGGTGCGCAACAATGAGACTTTCATCCTCTCTCCACGACGCAATACTCTGCCACAGACAGTGTCACGGATCCGCGAGGTTCCTGGCCCCAATGAGCAACTGGTGGAGAGCGCCACGCGCTACGTACCCGTTAACTCCAACCAACTGCCCACCATCGACATCAATGAGATTTTTCAGCAGTCGAACGTGAGCGGCATTTTACATACCCTTCTTGTTTTATAAACCGGACTCTGTTTTTAGATACAATACGATGTGCGCAAGGTGCTGATATCCCTGGCCCAGGCTTCGGCGGCAGTTATAGGAGCTGGTCCATATGCTCCGCGTCTGATAGCAATGTTAAAGCAGCGTTTGATTAACCGCCGTAATCAGCAGGCGGATACGCTGCAGTGCCTCGTAGACATGGGCTTCAAACGGGAACTGGCTGCGTTTGCTCTTAAAGCCAACAACGGCATTTACTCGACCACAATGGAGTGGCTGATACAAAACCAAAACGAGGAAAACCCGCAGGAACCGCCGGCCATGAACATGCAGCACAGCCTATCTTCCATCTCGCCCTCCACGATAGTCACGAATAATGTAAATATAACCTGATCAGTGTATTTCTTGTAACTTATCTATGATTCCGTTTAAGGAAACCATTGAAAACACCGCCGCCTTGATTGAGATTGTGCGAATCTACAGCCACCGGGACTCGCCGCCCAGCGATGAGATTGTGGAATCGCTCACCGAAATGGGATTCGAGGAGACGGCAGTTTTGGCGGCGCTAAAGAAGACAGGAAACAACAAGGCCTCCGCCTGCGAATGGCTGTGCGACAACCGATCGGGCAGTGTTATTGAGCTGCGCGAGGGCTTGGCTCCTGATTCGCCCATCTTAAAGGTGATCCTGGAAATGCCGCAGGTCCAAATGACACTCAGCAATCCCAAGACATTTTTGGGTATGTCAAACTTCCTTTAAAACACTCTTAATCAAAGCTAACTGTTTTTAAATTTACAGCCTTTCTGGGCATTCTGGAGAACGAGCATGCAATACGCGTGTGGCGCGGCGACAACGACACAACCTCGGTCATCACACATATCCTGCAAAAGTACCATGAGGAGAAGCATGTGCTGGGCATCAACCAGTTCTACACAAACCGCTGGTGAACGGTGCCGCTAAGTGGCTTTATTATGAGATTAACCAAATTATATTTATACATATACATACACAATCACACACCCGAAGTGCATAGCTGTGGCTTGGTCCATTTTGGGGCCCCCATTATACATTGTGTATGTGCCCGTATGTAAAGAGTATTTTTGTAGCCAAAAAACCATGAATGTAAACCGCACAAAGCCAAAGATGCAATCGCTTCGCCAAGAGCACGCGGCTGCACTCTACAAACGCTTACCGATCAGTACGAAATGCATTATACATATACATCCATATAAATATAAAAAGTAACTAGTTCTAGTCAGGCCTTCATCCTACGATTCTATTAGGCTAAACACTTACCCTTCATCTAGTTTGCTAGCTCATCGTCAGTCATTTGAAATCGCACTACATTAGCAACTGTCTCATACTTCATACCACAGATATGTACATCTCGTCAGTTGTAAGCGAGCGAACTTGAGGTGATTTCAAAGCGTTGTATTGTCAGGTTGTTAAACGTGTCGCCTGCGAAACCATCAACTTGAACTCAAAGTATTATTTTGTAAACCAAATATTCAATTTGCATTGTTTTAACAAGAGGCAAATAAATCAATTAGTTTTTGATACAAAACAGATCGAATGACGTTTTTATTTGTGGTATTACTGGTAATAAATGGGTATATTGTATTCGTTGAAAAATATGAAACAAGAGGTGAGAAATTCGTAATACAACTATATTTAATGTTTTCTTTAAATATTAAAAAAAAAGTTTTTGGGTAATTCGATTGTAACTAAGTGTTCTTGTAAAATGTTAATATATCCTACACCTTTTTTAGTCTATGGCCATGTCACACCGTTGTTTTAGGAATTAATTGGTTTTATCTTAAACCCAGCGGGTGTTTCCCAAGTTCCCATTACCTTTGGACAAAATAGGTAAGTTAAGTATGCATGACTCATACCGCTTTCATTTTACCACTGCGTATGAGTTATATTTGCAGATACTTTAAACCGAAATGAGTCACTCGTACAGATAAGTCGGTGGCCATTCATCCGCAATCCGGGGCATATGTAAAGTTAAACAGTTCCCATTACTCTAGCTTGTAATTTGTACAAATTGAATTGCTTTGTTGGCAGCGCAGTTTGGATCTCCGCAGTAAAATTATTTTGCTATTGCACTTTTAATGTATTGCAATTAATTTTCCATGCGGCCGCACATTTTTCATTTCATTATTCCAGCTGCAAATTCACATTAAACGAAAACAACGAAACGAAACAGAACTATTCTATTCAATTGTTGCACATTCTTTTTTTCGACATATTTACAATTCTTTGTTTTAAGCCTGGAGCGGGAAAATGAGCATATACATTTTAATTTATGTTAAGCGCGTTTATTAAGTGGTTGTTGCAGTGGTTGTGTATCCATGAGATACATTTACTAGCTGGTGGCTTTTAATTAATATTTGCGCGCAATATTTGGATTGTTTAGGAAATAGATGCGGGCAAAGAGCAAATTATTTATGGTCAGCTCGTGTTTTTATTAAATGTTTGCGGTTGCATGTTGCATCTGCAACAAAAGCAGAGCGGAACGGAAGCGTACAAAGTATCTGCAGCTTCGCCTAATGGCCCTTGGCGATGGCCATGCAAATCTATCTCTAAAAATTGATGACGCATGCAGCGGGCGAAGATGGAAATAGACCATAATAAATCATCTGGACCCTTACTAAGCGCTCCAGGCTAATGCACACAGAAAAATGTATAATATTTACGATTTAAAATGAAACGATAAATAACTTTCAAATTTTTTCGTTTATTCAAAATCGTTTTACAAATTCAATTGGAGGCTCTGAATAAAATTATAATTCCCTTCACAATGTTAACCAAACATACGTTTAAAATTCAGATAATCATATACAAATTATATTGTTTGTTTTTCCGAGTGCAAAACTGGGGAAAGTGGAGTGATTGCTCCTGAAAGTGGCCAAGGCAAATGAGTTTTTGATATTATCAAAAGACGAAATGCATTGACAAGGACGACGGGCGTTGAACATCGCCCAACTAATCCTCCCCCGCAGCTAAAGTCCCCCCCTCCACGAGTTGCCTATAAAAAACATCTCAGCTCCATCTGGAGTTTTCAGAGGGTAGATGTAGATGGTTTATTCAAGAGTCGTGTGGCTTTGGCAATTTCCGTTGCATATTTGCAGGCGCCGCAAATTTATGAACAGCTTTATATCGACTACATCACACCCCTGCAAAAACAGCGAAACAATGCTGGATTCTGATTGGCACTGCGAATAGGAAGGACCTCCTGCCAAATTCCGCAATTTGTATGAAAATGAAAATGTTTTGTCATTTCGCATTCAATGATTTAAAATTCCTGTCGCATGCGTTTTTGGCGAGTTTTCCATGTTTATATTTGCCATTAAAGGCAGCAAGCCGAATAACTTCATCGAATAGCCCTCTTAAAAAATTGCATTTATTATGCATTAATGACACCAGCACCAAAGCAGCGACATTATCCTCATCAGCATCCAAAATCGAATGTGTATAATAAAATATTAAGATTGGGAAAGACATAAGACGTGCCATTATGACTTCGCTGAAGGGCGAAATAAAAGAGATATCACGATTTTTTAGATCTGCATATAATATGCAGGAAATAAATGACTAGAGAAGCAGCAGCAATTTCGGATTATATAACCGAGCATTATAAAGAAAAATTCATCTTTTGGAATTAGAAATTTCACTATAAAAAAAATAAAATATTTAAAATATATAAATATCAATAAATAAAATAGTGGGTAAAATGGAAAATATTACTTTAATTATTAAAAAAAAATCATAATCCCAAAAATAAATTCGAAATATTAAGAAAACCCCCATGATATAACGGAAAAATAAATTTATACCCCGAATACATTAAAATCTCAATCTTTTTAATTACACAGTCCTTTTAGAAGCAGTCAGATTCCAATCTGATAATGGTTGTTAACAGAAGGACCCTTAGTATTCAACCAACATTGTTTCCCTTTCTAAGTTAAACCCTCCTTCATTACGAAATCCTCAGCCCAATTAACCATTTAAAACCGAATCGAACTCCTTCATTAGCAAACATTGCCCAATTTCTACCCTCGTCGCAAATATTTCATTTATATGCCATAAATACTTGCATGAAACTTTCAACGCGACATGAAAATTAAACGAAATGGGCCGACCCATTCCCCCACAAATACGATATCCTATGTCCTGAAATTGTTTGTCTTTACGGGTAGCAAATAAAAATTCTGCTTTAACGCATGAAATCACACAAAGATACTAAAAATTTGAACATGCAAGTTTATGTTGGCCAAACGGCATGGAGTCTGCGGCAAGGATAAAATGTCCTCTAAATGGGTGGAAGTGGGTTGTGGGTGGTGTGTGGGCCGAGGTTGCGGGTCGCACAGACAGCACACACATGCATACCAAACAGCAACAATAGTAAACAAAGCGCCACAGTTTATGACGCAGTAGGCCAACGTCCCCCGGCCTCATAAATATAAAAATTAGTTGCCGGTCAGTTAGCAAGTGGGCGGTTGGGCGGTGGGCGGTGTCGCCTCGGTCCGTTTCGCTTCGGTCTCGACTGGAAGGCCACGCTGGCCGCCCACAATTAATTAATTAGTTCAGTTGACAAAAATTGCGGTGTCGCCTGGTGGGCGGAGGTCGAAGGGTGGTCAGCTGGAGTGGGGCGTGGCAGGGTCCTGCGGCTGCCCGGCATGTGCCAGTGATTGGACTGGCTTAAACAGGAGTTGTTCCATGAGAGTGTGTGTTGGCGAGTGGCTAAATGGCAGGCACTCTAATTATGTTCATGCGTATCTTCAATTATTAAAAAAACAGCTTCCGGCCTATGGTGATTTTGAATATCTCCTGCAGTGTATTTCGCCTTCAAATGATTTTCTCAAGTTAGATTCTAAAAAAAAATTGTATAATGTTTCGACTTCTAGACACTTTTAGTTGTGGAACTCCCATTTAAAATAATGACTTAAGCATAGTCATTCTTAGCATTCATAATTCTAGTAAGTAATTACAAATTTTTTTATATTTATTGGGCAGAAATAAGGTAAATTATTTATTTTTTAATGAAGAATTTAAACTTGAAATCGAACAATTAAAATTATGAATATCAAGTATAACAATAATGATCACAAGGCTTAACATTTTTAAACGTTTAGGACTTTAAAGATCAATCTAAAAATCACTATATTGTAGGCCTTTTTAGCAATGGTATTATATGAAAGATATTTACCAAAAAGGCTAAGTAATTTAAGAAAACCTATTTCTTTAGTTACCAATTCTTCCCGCATAAACCTTCAACTCATGGTGATGTGAGTGTGCGTGTGTACCCATATTTATGCACATGTGTGAGTGTAACTGTTTTGGGCCACTCGTCCTTTGTGGGTGTCATTTCAGTTTCAAGGGTCGTGAGGCTGCCGGCGGTCAACTGTTTTCATAAGCGTAGCAAATATTTTCACAAGGCCAATTAGTGGGCAGCCCCCAGTTGACCGCAGCTGCTGAGATTTTTCCCTTGCCTTTGCCACTGCATCCTTTTACTCTGGTCCATCCTAAGTCCTTTCGTCCTTCTTCCGCTCACCACAGTTATAAAATTAATAAAAAGCACCCAAACTTTCCTGGTAGTTTCTGCTCTTTTTTGCTAACCTAAACCTAAAACAGCTGATCACATTCTGGTTTTTGTCAACGGCTTTTCCGTGTGACGCAACATACTTGCGAACAAAAGTGAAAAAGTGAAAAAGGCAAAAGCAATAAAGTTTTCAATTGTTTCTTTCGCACTCCATGCAATAGTTTTCTCTGGCTTCCTCTTCTTATTTTAGTTTTTACAGAAAGTTTTTAACTGGCGCTGACTTTAAGTGCAATTCAGTGCCGAGGAAAAGACAAAAAAAAAATCGCTCAAACGAAAAAAAAAGAATGCTAAAAACTTTTTCCCACTTGCCGCTGACTTTTCCACTGTTCTATTCCGTTTTGCGGCTGCCACATTCGTTTTGTTTTCACCAGTTTAAAAACGCATTGCCAAATGTGTCACACAGAAGTTATTGTTCGTGTTGTGCTTTTCCCCTTAGTCCTTTACCGTTATTTCGCCTGACACAATGCGAGTGCCGTTATTTCAGGGGGATACAAAGGGGGGCAGAGGGGCATTGCGGTTGCTTTGTCTCCTGCATTGCACATTTTGCACTTGACACGAACGAGAAGGAGCGAGATGGATGGCAGCCACGAGTCGAACGGTACTTGGCGGGTCAGTGCCCACCTCTCCCTCCCAACCCCACACCCATTCCCCATCCCACTCCCACTCGCTCCCATTCTACCCAGGTGATGCCGCACAAAGGACTCAAAAACAAACTGTTAAAAATGCAACTGGGTTGAGTGTCTTAATGCGTGGCTAAATGCCGGCATTCAGGTCCTTTCCATTTTCCAAAGTATTCATTTTAGATGAAATGTTTTTTCGGGTGGCAACAGATTTGAAAGGTGCGCCCTCTGACCTTCTATTTACCTTTCAGTAATATATAATGGCTTATTTGTTGACTACATATCGTAGCAGGTTCTTTCATCATAGCGCCATGTCCTTTTACTATAATAAAAATGAAAAAATATATACAGAAAAACAAGAAAATATATAAAAATAGGTCAGGCATTTAACTGTACAAGTAAGATTTAAATTAAGTAAATGACATTTATTTATTTTTTTAAGTGCTGATAAAAAAGGTTTTGTAAATATATTTAAACAGATATAACATTTAAAAGCAAAGGGATGGAAGATTTATTCATTACAGAGAATACAACAAAATGTTGCAATTTTAATGTTAAATTGAATTTATTTATTTCTTATTATTCTCTTAAAAAAGAACATTTTACAATTATTTTGTAAATTGTAATTGTGCATTTGGTTTTCGGTAATTCCTTATATAATAAAAATATCATCAACATATATGAATATATTAACTAAATATATAATATATATTACAAATATAATGAGTATATTTAATGAGTATTTTCTCATTATTTGTAATCTTTGGATGTTTGTAACATAAAATAGAAACAAAAGTATGTGTTAATTCCTGTCCAAAAACAGAAAGCCTTTAACAAACGAGAGAATCAGTCCATCACCTTCAGATTGCTTTCAAAAGAGAGCTTAATAGAAGTCGTTTCGCCTATTCTTCGGCTTTTTAAGCCGATCTGACGCTAACAAGCTGGACTCACACAGAGCCATCGATACTGGGACCCATGACGGATTAATTTTTAATGAGCTAGTTAGTTAGAAATTAATGAGGCAGAGCGCAACAAACCGCCCACCGGGCGCCCACTCCGCCCCCCGGATGCGGTCCCACGTGCCTCCCCCATAAATCATCATTGCCAAAAGCCAACGGCAACAAACACAATGAAATACAATTGCAATTTCCCGTGTCCAGCGCCTTCCTTTCTGGCCTTCTTGCCCTAAATCCTGACAAATGAGCGAAATTTCATAGCTCAAAGGATATTAACGTGTATTAGCACGAGACGAAGGCGAATGCATTAAGTCAACTAACTGTGGTAAATAGAGGGGAATCAACTAGAAGGCGATCCTTTTGAGGGCACGCTGCACGCAGCATCAAATTTGCTGCTTCATTTATAAGGATTACTGCCCCGAAACAGCAAAAACTCATAACAAAATTACTTGCAAGAAATGCAACAAGCTCAACTATAAGTAGAAGCACCACTATACTACAACCCCCATTTGGAGGGTAGGAAACTGGCGTCGTGGGTGGATGTAATTCTGGGTGGGTGACTGGCCAACTGGATGGGTTTGTCCTTATTTCCTGGCAAACACGAAATATGCATTAGTTTGCCAGTTGTACTCCATGATTACAAGTTTTTATACTGCACATCTCGAGGGTTGACTCTGAGAGGCTTTGAAAAGTCGTAAAAATCTATATTATATCAGTTGGAGGTAATAAATCAAAATATTTATATAAAGAGCTGCAAGTAATATAATTTGCAGGTTCATGAACTTCACTTATCAATAATCAATCAGCATAATACTTTTGATAGATTTATGTAGCGAGTTTTCAAACTTTAATCTTTTAAAATTCTATCTTTCTAAGAACCACCAAGATATTAAAAGTTTAATGTTCTTAAAAAAAGTGTTATAACAAGGAACTGCAAGTTCTCTAAGGTCCCATGCATCTTTTTTTTCATCATCCATTGTTGAAGAGAAATTTATATTGAGATCAACATTGCCTTCCAACTTATTTTTGCTATCTCAACCATGTAAGTTTATGGAGAGTTCATATCTGACAGGTGACTCAGTCATTTCCCCGGGGAAACATTTCCAAAAAGTCATCTTTCCCGACACCAAATTACTTTTAGTAGCTGCAGCTATTTTTCGAACCATTTAGCCATACTAGAGGTGAATGTGAGCCGTAACTCCATTCAGGATACTGAAAGTAGCTGCTTGTCAGGTGTTGTTCGGCTTTCCCATTTGCGGTAGCGCCATTAAAGTCAGAACACGACGATGACGCTCCCAAGTTATTATAATTAAAGTCGAGTCTCAAATGACTGGAGGAGTTTCGCTTTCTTCGCTTCGGCTTTATTGTTTCCTTTCTGGAGTTCTGAGAGATGTTATTTGAAATTTCGTCGCTGTTTGTGTGTTGTTTGTTGTCGTCGTTTGTTGTTTACTGCGGCAAGGCAGCCACAAGAACAACAGAGTGTTAGGGCCAGAACAACTCAACAGCTTGGCTTACAACGGAAATGGCAACAAGCAACATCAGCAGCAACTGCGTGCTATATGCCTTTTTAACTTGATTTAATGAGTGCAGGGAAAGACATCAACAAGAAAAATGAAATAACTGTCATTGAGGACATGAAAAAGGGAGCCCAGATGGGGGATAGACGATGTTTCTCCGTTTCTCAGCCGACTTCTGATGAGTTGAGCTGATGGAGTGCGAGGCTGCGCTACTTAACTGGCAAGCAAGCGAAGGGTCGGTCCTTTCCGAGTCCTGAGTCCTGTCTGCCGAGTCCTGGGTGTGGCAGGGCGCAATTATGCAGCAAATTAACGCTTTATATTTATTAAAAGGAAACCCAAGAAAATGGGCTTGGGCGTGGCCCTCTGAAGAGAGGGATGAATGTGTCCATAGGTAGACGGTGAATTCCCTTTGACAGTTGGCCGAAAAAAAAAACCTTGGTAGACAGGAAAGTTACCCCGCTTGCTAAAAGCCTATCTATCAGTCTCCTTGTTGACGATAGAGGAAATTAAAATCTATGGTTATTGATATTTATGGTAAAGCATATCAAGAAAAGTGGAGATACTACAAGATACTCACCAAAAAGATTTCACCAACCATTTTAATCATAAAAGCGGCATAACTGGGTGCAACTTCGGTAATATTTAATATCAAAGGGCTCTTATCAATAGACAATGGATTTTATGTTGTTTGTGATTTATCGAAAATTCGGGAACTAGCTATCTGCATGATATCAGAATGGTATTGTAAAAGATTTTTAAAAGTAAAATACAAAAACCATTTTTCTGCAAATAAACATGACTGTGACAATTTTACAATACAAAATTATAGCATTTTCTTTTTAAAATTCTATTATTCATAAAGTTGTACATAGCAAAATAGTTTTTTGTCTGGTTATTCCCTACAAGAACTTTAGTTTATAAACACCTTTGCATAATGATATTTTATGTTTTAAGAACCGATTTGAACGCAAACTTTGAATCATCACTTTGATTAGTCACCCTTAGCCTTAGTTTATATTTTAAGCGTTTAGTTTACATAGTTCTTATTTATTAAAAGTTTTTCACAACTGCACAATTCTACGAGATGACACACAGTCCGCACTCCTCCATTACGCAACAGGCGCCCAGCAGCATGCAGCATTCGGCGTCACTGGGTCCTTGCGGAGGTCCTGGCTGATTGTAGCTGGGCTGCTCCACCACCACCACTGGTTGACCGTATATGGGCGACGGCATTATAACCTCCACGGGGGGAGGGGGTCCAATCACATTCACCACCTCCACGGGCGGCTGATAGTACGGATCGATCACATCCACCTGGTATCCTGGGTTGTACATCCTCTTGACTTTTCTTTATTTTTTTCTGATTTTATGGGTAAAATTTGCTAGTTAGTAACTAGTATTTGGCTTAAACTGTTTGACTAAGTGAACACCGCTCGGTAACGCGCCTTTAACTGAAACATCGAACGCAAATGGCAGGCGGTTTGGTGGAAATATCTTACTCATTATTATCTAAAGCCGGTAGGCATTTGATCAATGCCCTGCCCTGATTACGAATTTGTGTACACGCAAATAACATTGAAAAAAGCACCAACAGTGGGACAATTTTGAATATCTACACTCAATTACTTTTGATTCATACTTTTTAGTAAAAAGAAATGGTCTAAGAAAAACTTTTAAGAGATAAATAAAACTTTTAAGGTAATCCGCTTTTACTCCAAACGCATTTTATTAATAGATAAACAATATTTTGTAAATGTTTAGCTTTAAAATTTTCAAAAATGTTGCTACAAATTATTTTATGTTTACTTCCCATTTATCGTCATCCTATTTGGGCACGATTCGACTTCCGTAAAAGCGCAATACTGGCATTTCCTTTTTATTTGTAAAACAGGTTTTGCCAAGTTTTCCAACAAGTTAATGACAAGCTTTCCACATAGAGAAAACGTGAAAAAATGGTTTAAGGCGAATAGATAGTTGTATTACAAACTTTAAATTTTAATACCACTTTTTAATTTAAACAATATAAATGCACCACGGTTTTTCGGCAGGTGTATCACATTGCGTATGAGTAATATTGTTTGGGCTTTAGATAAACGTTTGGCAAAGAAAGAGCGCGAACCAGAAATTATGTTAAATGAGCAGGCCAACACTAGAAAGAGCACTCGCACTCGCAGTCGCACTCCCTCCCACGCAATAACCCAAATGGGAACCCTCGTCAAAATATTTGGGGCGAGAACTCTGACGCTGCGGTTGCAATTCAAGCGCCAAGAGTCATAAAATCCTTTATCAAATGAGAGCAGCAGGCACATGGAACCGGAGTTGGCAGCACTCTTGACACATTTTCCGCTTTTATTGGCAAATTGAGAAACATATAAATAATAACTGGGAATGTGAACTAACTTTGAAATGATGTGGTGAGCATTTCCAGCCAAAAAAGGATTGTCCCGGCTCGGGCATCATAAAACTACAAATTTTTGTGGCGTGTTATTAAATTTGGCTTTTTATTATTATGTGGTCTTTTGGCATTGAGATTTATGTAAGACAATATGTTACCAGCGGACCCCCAAACAACAAAAAAGCTGAGTGTGAAGCCAGTACACAGCGTTATTTATAACGAATCGTAAAATTTTATTGCACGAAAAAACTGTGTGAATTGTGTGGCCATCATAGACATAGGAAGTTAATTTAACGTAACGCATTAAGGGATCTGAGGTCCTTTGATTTCTTCACATGATGGTGCAGCAGCAACAGCAATCGCCACATCCGCAGCAACAGGGGCAACAAGGACAGCAACAGCAGCCGTTCTCTTTTGGGGGAGGGGGTGGAGGAGGTGACTCAACGATGACCGTGGTCGCCGGTTGGGGCGCCACTTGCACCACCTCCACTACGCGGGTTCTATGGTCCATTTTGATTGTTAATTATCCAGTAATTCGTTGTATATTAAAAGTAGACCTGTTGCACGGCACGCGTTTAGTTCTGCACTGATCATAATAGACGGATTGTGTTATTATAACCGGGCTCTCGCCAATTTGTTTCTATTACGCTATGAGTCTTATCTATAGATAAAAGCTACACTGGAACTCTTATCAGTAACCAGGGATTTGTGTGAAGTACATAGCGACTCGTTGTGATCTCACCTTGACTGTCCACACAGCCGGCTGATAAGGAAATAAAAAATCGATGGGTACTTTATTAGATGATATTTTTGTAAAAATTACAGGGGAATATTTTTGTTCAAATAAACATAGCCATTTCTTCATGCACTGAAGAAAATCCGATAAAGCTACAGATAATCTAATCTGGTTTGCTTTATAATGTCTTATCTAAGATAAGGTCTTTCTTGCAATCTACCAAACTACGTCATTAATATCTTATTTTGCACTTAGAAATAGCTTTAAGCTGCAGTAATTGGTTTACTTGTAATATAATACCCAAACATTGAATTTTATAGTTTTGAAGCCAAATTTTTAATCTATCTGTTCTAAAATTACCGATTCCCCAACCTGCCGCTTCATTTGCATTTTAATTTATCTTTAGTTTGGAGCAGAATTTCAACTTTTATTACACCTAAGTCGGCCCACTAATTCCCGCCTGAGTTTATCAATTGAATGAGTCACATTACACAAACTATCACGGGAAACTTGAAACACGCTAATGTCGCATAATGCCAAATGGGGCAGCTAATTATATATGCCCCCTTATCTGGGCACTCAGAACTATATCCGACGACGCACTTTGCATTCGAAACCAGCCATCCAAGTGGCCCCATCAGCATCAGCAGCCATATCAATTTCGGGGCGAATAGTTCCTCGTTGCTATCATAAAACGGGGATCTCAATTAAAAATTTCACCCAACACCACAGATGGAGGGGCGTTACCTTGCTGAAATTAATAAAAATATATATTTTTGAGCGCCCTTCGTGCAATGGCGTTGATAATTAGTGTACGTGATTCTATTTACTTCGACTGGGCCCCAAAAACCCCGATGGATCCATCCCAGAAGCATCCCCTTTGGCTGGGAAAAGGGAAAGGGGTCGGGTCCTTTAAGCCAAGGGAATGTCCTGTGTGTATGGAGGGTGTAATATGATATGCGCGTAAAAAATATAGTACGTGTGTGCGTGACAATGGCAACAACGTGCGGCAGATCCCTAAAAAAGGAATGGATGGGGAATATTGGGGGACTTGGGGGGACTGGCCTGGCGAATGCCGGGTGTCAAAAATGAAACTACGCCTGTTTGGAATTTTAAAATAAGCAAATGAGTTTAAGCTTGATGAAAGCAAGCAACAACCATAACAACAGCAGTCGAAGGTGAAGCAACAGAGGAGCCCATAAATATTTATAAACTTTCCCCTGTCATATAAATACGGGGTCATTAGTTGGCTTGCATACCTTTCGCCATGGGACACCCTCCTCCTCGAGGATAATAAAAACGAACTAGGCGGCAATTTAAATTCCTCTACTCTATATAAGCAGTCAACTAATTGAGTCATTACTTTCCTTCGAATGGGAGAACATAACTAAAGGGTTAATGGGGTTCAAGCAGATTTATTAGTTGCGGAATGCTTAGTACAGCAATATCTCTGATTTTACTTAAGAATCTAGGGGCAGTATAGGCTATATCGAAGTAAAAAAAATAAAAATTAAATAAACATTATGGAATATTAAGATCCTTAAACGTTATCGCTGTGTTTCAGGATAAAAGTGCCTTTAAATATTTTTTACGTTAACCGGGAAATGGTGCGAAGATATAATGATCATGAAATAATCAATTTAGCATTGTTTTGACTTAAATGTACCATTCATTTAAAGTTTATTTTATGACCTGTTCGTTAAAAAGTCTATGAGGAAAAGTTACAAATGAAGGCTCGTAAATAGAGTATACGCAGCGTTGACGCAAAGACTAATGGTTAGTTGAACTAAGGTCAGGACCAAGCCTATCAGCCTTTGTTTCTATATAAACTCACGCACATATATTATATACACAATACATATAAAAATGATAAAGCAAAATGGCGAAAAGTGGCAGTAAAAAATAAAATGCGCTGCCGCAAAAGTGCCATTTGTGGCATAAACACATGCGCGCCAAAAACTTTGATAAGACAAAAGCCGAGCGAGTCCACCAAACCAGGTATTTTTTGGTTGGTGGGTGGTGGTAGGTGATGGGTGGTGGGTGCGAGGTGGCAAGTGGCAGGTGAGGGGGCGAAGGCCGAAAAACTTTGGCAAGTGTGGCGGCAGCAGGAAGGCCAGAGTGGAAATGTCCCAAGAATGAACTTCGTCGTTGGCGCGCAGACCGCAGTGTGCCACTAAATGCTGCCACTAAATGTGTGCCAAGTATTATTGCAGGTGCCAGGTGCCTATCCGCACACACACGTTCACAGATGTGTGTGTGTGCGATTGTGTGTGGCAGCTCTCCGCCGAAATTGCCCAAGGAGCTGCTCCTTGAGGTGTTCACCACGCCAGGACTGGCATAAAATTAGCACAATAAAAACACATAAATGCGGCACAAAAACATGAAAATCCACTTGTTATAATTTAATCGAGTTGATAGAATTTTTACGACACCTTTCTCCAGGTATTCGTTTGTGTGTGTGTCTTCGCGGTGCGTTGCGTTGCTTAAAATGTGGGACAAAATAAAAGTTTTAATCACACGTCGCCATTTTATTGCTGGCCATGAAGATAGCAAATGCATTACGAACTTAACGTGGGATAAGCTTTAGTTTAAACATAAATGTTAAGTGCACAATACCAAGTAAAATCACTTAAGTTTTATGCCCACACGGGTCAACGTAAATTAACTTAGGAATACAAAAAACCTTGAATTGTATGTAAATATTTAAACCTACTTCAAATAGACCTTCTTCAGTAAACGAAAGGCACCAAAATATGTGCTACAAAAGTTGTAATTGAATTTACGGTAATCGTTTTGCTATTAAAGTTAAAAACGAATTCTTACTTTTGTAAATTTTTTTAGGTCGCTCCTTTTCTATTTCTAAATGGCAGAAGATAAACCCTATTTTTTCCCCCAATTTAAAGTGAAAGGAAATTTATACACATTTGTGAAATATTTATTTGCAAGTGTAAGTTTACTCAAAAAAATGGTGAAGAAAATAAAAGAATTGTTAAATATTATATCGACAAACTAAGATGGGTTGGATTCTTCATTATCCTGACCACTAACCAAGGAGTGGGTGGCCACAGATTCGGCCTTGCTCTCCCTTCGGGCCTGCATTAGGGTGGCCCGCTTGTTGATCGAATCCTCGGTGTTGCACATCATGCAGGTCTCGATAAAGAATATCAACTCCTGAGTCTTGAGGCTCTGGGCAATGGGTAGAGCATCATCCAGGGCCTCCCTAGTCTGTTCCAACTTGTGCAGGATGGCATTCGCCTTGACTATCTGCACAACGCTGAGGAACTTCCATAGATTGCTATTGCAGTTCTTGCTTTCTGAGGGTTTTAAAAAGGAAATCATAAATGACTCAAGCTGGATCAAAAAATGTTTGAATATGAAGAGCTGAACCTAAGGATATCATGGATTTCCTTCATTGAATTACCTTTAATAGCTTTCCGAGCATTGAAGGCACACTCGGAATGACGTCCCTGGTCCAAATACGACTGGGAAATCTGGTGCAGCAAATAGCATTTTTCGATTGAATACTTGGCAAAAATCATTCGATGTTCCAGGCGAGCAGTTAGCTTCCTGTGAAGTTTAGGGATATATGAGAATTTGTTGTTTTCAATTGCCAATTTGACTCTTACTTAGCTCTCAAGGTTGCTGGATCGTTGCCCTCAGGCTCTGGCTGTCGATCTCCAAATGTCAGCGATACGAAATCCTTCACCCTTTCCACTGGCAGATGCAGCAGCCTAAGTATGGCATTACTTCCTTGGGACGTGAAGCCTTTTGGCACTCGGAGTTGCTCGGACAGAGTCAAAGCCATTGTGTTGTACACTTCGTTAAGGAACTCGAACTTCCAGCACATCACTCGAGCCGTCTTTAATACCACATAGGTGCCCATCAGCTCCTCCACGAATTTGGCCAATTGCTGTGGGTTAGGAAAATATTTCTTTAGGTTTTGCTATTTGAAAACATTTAAAAATACACGTTATTCCAAACACACAAAGAAAAAAGGTAGTTAACCTGGATCTTCAGCTTAAGATTAATAATTTGAATTTACTGGCTTATTAAACTAACGCTATAATCAAGTGTCCCGACCAAATGTGTTGCCTCTTTTCTCTACCAATAAAGGTTTAATCCTATTTTAAATATGACAGATGTTGAAAGAATTTCCCCGACTCACCTGCACCTTCTTGGCCTTGCGAAGAACGCGAATCTGCTTCAGAGCCTGGTTCATGTTTCGATGTGTCTGATACTGTACGCGGAAGAGGTAAGCCTCGCGGTATCTGTCCGACATTGCCTTATTGCCGTACTTCAGGTAATTGACCAGGTAGAGAGGACACCGGGATTGCAGCATTTTCTACAGATGGGAAAACTATAGGATTAGGATCGCCAGCTGGAAACTCCCGAATGATCCTAGCTCACCATAAACTTGCGAACGATCTCGTATTGTTTGCTGGAGAGATTGTAAAGGAAGTAGGACGACTCCTTGCACTGGGGCAGCAAAAGGTTGGGATTCTTGCAGAGCATCTTCATGAAGAGCACGTCGATCCAGGAGTCGTTGATGTACGACTGGTGGTAGATGTTGAAGGCCCGCTTTCTGCGTGCAATCTCCATCGGCGACAGCATCTCCTCCTGGACCTCCGGAATACTCTGAACATCGCACTTTCCCTGCTCCTTCAGAACCTTCCACAGGGGTCGATTGTCGATCCTTTCCTTCTCCTTGATCAGGTCGTGCACAATGTTGACCGTCTTTAGATTCTTCGTGAAGAAGGCCGACATCGCCTCACCAGTCACATCTTTTATGACTCCGTCCACCTAGGGAGAAGTAAATAGATTAAATTAGATTTAATTAAGAAAAGCAATGCGTGCATAAATCAAAGCAGGAGAGATATATTTTTTACTTTTTAGGCCCTCCTTACTGAAAAAACATATTGATTTTGCTTAAACCATGAGTCTCTTAATGCCTTAAATAATAGACCCCGAAATGCTCGAAAAAGGTATTCATATTTTTGTGGTATTGTTTTATGATTGATGATTCGTTATTTTTAAAATATTTTTTTTGATTATTTTTTTGATTTATTAAAAACTTACCACCAGCTGGCGCTGCACGAAGCTCTTTCTTTTGTTGCCAATGAAAACTCGCATATTATTGTGAATTTCGGCCTTGCTGTTTTCGAACTGGTTCAACTCGTACAGCACGTCACAAATGTCCAGATTAATAATGGCCCTTTCCTCACCATCCACCTTAAGAGCAAGCTCTGTAGAAATCCAATTAATATTAACATTAAATAAAGGGGCATATTTAAAGATTTGTAGGTAACTAATTACTTGGATAAATAATTTGTATAGAACATTTTTGTAATAAATTACCTAGATGATATTACAACTTTTGCTTACCTATTGCAAGGCATAGAAAGGGAATTCAAAATAATAAATTAAAGATTAAATGACCTTGCCACTAAGTACAAACTTATAGTATTTTTTAAATCTTTCTATAGTTTGGTAGCTATATAATCCCCTTGATAAACTCACTGGCGGCATCCCGACTGTCGGCCAGAGCTCCTAGCATCTGGGCAGCCTTCCTCTTGCTCTGGCATCGTTTGTACAAAGTCATGTGATCCAAGGGCTCCAGGGCGAGTGCCTTGTTTAAATAATGCAACGCGAAGTTCTCACGACGGCGACGCGAATAGTAGGTTCCCCAGTCCCGATAAATATCGTGGAGCACCTCGTCCGACCAGTCTATCTTCATCCATATTGGAACCGCCTCGTCCAAATTCGCCTTTGGCATCTCCACAATCGACGTCATTTTGTCTTCTTGTATTGGTCACTTCAATCACCTAAATTTATAGAATACTAAAATTGAAACAAACTTATTAACATATATTGGTTATACCTGAATCTTCTTATTTTGCGACTTCGCGCTGTTAAAATGGGGTATGTGCAAAATTTGTGTTAATATGTTAATAAAACTGGGATGATAAATTGTACTATAAATTTAACAAAGGTTAAAACACAAGTGAGTTGTGGACTACACAAAGTATAGAATGTGATAGACGTTAAAATTTAAACTCTTTAAGAATACTTAAAGTCAAAGGTAAGATGATTCAAAAATAAGTAAGTTTTTCTGTTATAATGTCTTGCATATTAAAGGATTTGTCTCATATTTGTAGTATTTAAAGTAACCTGATTTCCTTTATTCTCTTAGAATATTTTCTGATAGTGTCCTGAAACATTAAATTACTATTTTGACAAAAGTTTTCACTTATTTCTAGCATTATTTACAGAAATGTTTGTATGCCTGGCCACAACTTCTGGTGGCCCCATGTTATTATAGTGGGCCTTCGTGTGTGGCAAATGGATGTGGCAAGTGGAGGGGCGTCTCCGTTTCCTCTTCAACTTCGAATTCTGTCACACTTCTAATAAGCGCTTAAAAGCCACGCAAGGCTATCCAAAACCTGTGATTAAATGGGAAAACCGGGCAAAAATGGGGGAAGGCAAAAACGACTGTGGAAATCCGACCGCAAGGCGAGTGACAGAAGTGGCACACAGGCCACCCAATAATTGTGCATGCCCAGTGGCAGCCGAGCGAAAGAAATCACTTAAAAACTCGCACACACCACACACACCACACGGCCACCTATAAATTATGCTTCACACCCAGTTCAAATAGAAGTTGTAACAATGAAATTAAAGCCACCACAATGGCCAGTGATAAGTGCTGGACGGCAGGGAGGGGTTGTGGGGAAAACAACTCAACGCGATCATAAATCTAATGTGTAATAAATTTAAACAGCGAAATCATGCAAAAAGCAAAGGCAGGTCCTGTGGCTTAGCTCACGCACAGGACTTTTCTTCTTTTTTTTTTGCGCCACGAAGGACCCGACAATGACTACACTTTAGCGGCAAATTTGTGCGCATTGTCGCCGTATTATTTGCTATTATTTATGCCTTTTCCACTATTTACTTCCTTTCTTAGCGCCCGCCACGCCATTTTCAGGGCGGGGGAGGTATGCAAAAGTGGCCACTCCTTGGCCAGGACAAAAACCCACACATTCACCCAGAGGAAAATACACTGGGAAAACCACAGGCAATCCTCGCTGGCTGACACTTATGGCGTGCTAAGCATTTGCGCTCGGAGAGGCTCGCGTGGATTTTAAACATTTTCACACAACATTCTCATATTTAGACGTCGCCCATCAGCCGCCAGGAGTTGAGTGGAAATTTGGTTGCCGGTTTTGGCCGCCTTTTGCCAACCCGGCGATAATGTAAGCCCCTTTAAGCCCGAAATAAAGGACGCGAAAAGCGGACGCGAATGCGACCGCACCAACAACATGCAACGGCACACGCGACCCCAAACGAAAATCTGTGAAATGTAATTGTTACCATGAAAGCAGGACTAACTCCCATCGCAAAACTCTCCCCCTTTTTGAGGGCATTTTAAGTAAGTTTCGCAGTTTGATAATCGGAGGGCCTCAGCCGCCAACGCTGATATACAAATTGGCTTTCGCAATGACTTTATACATTTTACGAGCTGTGCTGCGGTCCTTTTTGGGGAAACTTCCTTTGCCTTTTCCGTTTCGCATGTGAGTTGCCCTCTGATGCGATTATAAAGAAAAACTGATGCAGATAAAATTAATTGAATTCAAAAAGCCAAGCCATTGGTCTTTCACCAACCGTTTTCTTGCAAAGTGCCCTGCACTTGGCTGCCGAATTTGCGCAATACTTTTCTGGGTCATTTCATGAGGAAAGTAAATAGTTACATGGCCACGATTGGCTTAATCTGGAATGAAAATCAAGTTATTTCAGTCGTATTGAGGCTTATGCACTATACCTATCTCATTGGCAAATTGACAAAGTCAGAATAGTTAAATCTATGAATTGGTAAAGCAGTAAATAAAGTTCCATTGAATGGTATAAGAAAGGCAGTAAATAAAGTACAATTTGAATTTGAGTTCAAGGGAAATCCAATAAACCAAATATTCCGTGAAGCTTTCAAACATTTTTATAGGGAATTTCAGAGATTGGAGGTGATCGATTTGGTTTTATAAAACCTCGAATTCTGCCTAAATTATACTTATTTTGGGAGCCTTATCTTATCAGCTGCTCAATGAAACCTTTGGTAAGACTAGGCGCACCTTTCAAAAGATTAACTTTAAAAGTAATATAGTTTATCTTGAGAGTTTACATTACTAACAGTGAAGTGGGAACATTAAGAAAACTGTTATATTATAATCAGGTAAACGGAATTCCGTATAAAAGTGGTGATTGAATTTCATTAAGTTTGAAGTTCCACAACTCTATCTTATTGTTTGCTCAACAAACTTTTCATTCAAACTTGACGCACCGAATAAATATCAAAGCAAAATGGTTTAGATGCTTATCTATGGACAGAACCTTAGAGGGGTTTTCCTCATTTTATTGGCTATGACTAACTTCGCTTCAGGCATTTACAAGGTCTTACTCATGGCTATGGTCATCATAATATTCCAATGTTTGTGCTAATAAATACGTTTATCGATTAGCAAGTTATACAAAAACAGATTAGATAGGTGGTATCTTTATAAGTTGAGTCTCGATAAGATTTGCACTGCCAAGTGGGGATTTAGTTGCCTATAAGAGTTGGACCCATTCGCACGTTGTTCGAAGTAAACGCTAGTATTTGAAAAATGCCACCACCACACGGAGGACCTGGAGGACATGGAGGACCTGGAGGACCCGGCGGTCATGGTCATGGTGGACCACCGCATCATGGAGGACACCATGGACCACCGCATCATCATGGACCGCCTCACCATCACCATGGACCTCGACGACCCTGCTGCCTGTGCTGCACGATTTCATAAGAATTTAACAACGAATTTACCAAAGAAAATAGTTTTAAGGATTTCTGCCTCAAGGAAGTTCTTCTGTAAATGTATATGTTTCAGGATAATAAGCCGCCTAATTAGTGTAATCGAGTGCCTAGAGTGCTAAGCAATTAATGGCTGGCTAATCATTATGTGTCACCTCAAAACGCTTTAAAACCTCAAAAGCCACTGCCACACGGCGGTTGCTTTCCAATACAATTGTACCAATATTATCTGTGTGTTTTGTTGCGTGTCGGAAATGTTTGTGTGTGTGTGTGTGTGTGTGTGGGAGTGGGGCAGGGGGTGGAGATCCTGGAGCCACACACACACACGCACATCACATTTAAGGTCGGACTGGTCGGCGCTCTAATTTATAGCAGCCAAGTGGATGCCGAAGACCAGAAGACATACAAGTGCCATAAATTCTGGCAAAGGAACACATTATTTATACTGTCAACCGGTCCATATTTCGGATGGGAAATACGTATACTCCGGCCTAACCATAAATAAGTGCATTGCCTCGGCTCGGCAGCGAAATAAGTCTTCATTAGCGGTTAAAAGGCCGACTGGTTGACCCACAAAGGACTTCTCAATGCTGGTAAATCGGTTCTTCACTCACCATTCGCATTCTCATTCGCAGTGGGTTGTCGCCCAGCCGCAGAAACGGGCGTCGCATTAAAGCCGGAAATGCCCAAACAACAACAAGGAAAATGCTTAAAGTTCAAATTAAGCACAACAGCTGGCGAAAAATTGAATTGAAAGCAGGAGGAGAGTGGCAACAAAAGCAACAAAGAGTCGCTGCTCCCGGTCACCCAACCCCGAAAAACCCCCACCCAACCCCAAATAACGAACCCAAAACTCAACTCAACCCAAGGCATTTTCCCGAGGAGCAGGGAAATACAGTCAAGGGAAAACCTGAAAGGAAAAACCGAAGCACGCTTTTAGGCGGTGGAGGCGCGATGTTTAGCCCCAACTTCGGGAAATCAGCTGGCCAAGTAAGAGTCCCAAAAAAAAAAAGAGAAATTATAAAGCCGAGAATTGAAAGAACCAATAAATTGAGTTTCTCCCATCACACTGGCGCCACTTTTCCTCATGGCGTTCAGTTGTGGTACTAGCAAAGCGCATGCGTCGCTATATTGAGTGAAAAATCGGAAAATCTAAAGAGCGAATTCTGAGGTTTAGTTAGTGCTTCGAACAAAGCTCAAGGGTTTGGTTGTCAATAGAAGAACACTTTGATTGTTCTGCCTCACCGATAGCCATAAAATTGAGGCATTGCGAAATTTTGCTGTTTTAATTGCCAATTATGGCCGAAAACGGTTTTGTGCTAATTGGCTAATTAGGCAATGGGACTATTTTATTAAGACAGATACAGTTCCATTGAAACTGATTGTTAAAAAACGACTTACAGTTTAAATTCAAATTTTCTGTCAAGAAATATATCTCACTCTTGGTTTAATCAGCATCAAAATTTGTTCGAAAAGGTTAATGCTGTAAAGTAAATACAACTTTCCAATTAAAATTTATTGTCTCCTTGTTAAAAATTTAGGCAAATACAATAAAATAAATAGAATAGAATAACTATTTAATTTAACAGCATATCATAATGTTTCTCCCCTTTTGAAACTATAAATATTTGAATGGCAATGCATTTAAGAAATATGACTTTTTATTTTATTGCACATTCCTTCACATTTTCATATAAATAAGAATTAGCTTCATTTGAAATCAATTCTAACAGTTATTTAAAAGTATTTAATTTCTTAACACCTGAATTGTTTTCCATGGAGACAAAACGATAATTCCTCTTGTTGGCTCTTGTATACAATTTCCTGGCTTTATTTATTCAGCATTCTTGATTGTTTTTTGCCTTTCCTGCTTCATTTCCTGTGCTTCACATTCACAATGATGCAAAAGTGGCTGCCACTAAAGCTCTGACATTATCCCAAAGTGTGTAATTACGTATGCTACTGGGCGGCTGCCACGCCCCCTTTCGCATAGTTTATGTCTAGTTGCAGTGCATAAATTATGTTAGGCCAAAGTGCAAGCAAAGTTATGTAGACGGACTAGGTTTGTTGGAAAGATTAACGCCTTCGTTTTGTTTTTTATGCGGCACTAACATCGGATGCCCTCGCACTCACATACATGCCACATTCTGTTGCCTTTGCCACTAAGCCGTCTGCGAAGAGCAGGAAAAACAAA